GCAAGCAATCGGCGTCGCCCATGGTCACCTGGAACACCAAAGGTTACAACAGCGTTATTGGCCTTTTGGGGATTAGAAATTTAATGATTGTTGAGGATTCGGGGATTGGAAAGATAAGGAAGGGGTAATTGGGCCCACGGTAACCTCATTCACACGACGAAACAGCGTTGTTTCACGTCGGTTTTCTGTGAGCCATAGTATCTCTTCGGTCGAACCGGCCAATTCGTGCCAAAGCATGGCTCTCTCACACTATATTGGATTTAAATCGAATTGACATTGAGATTGGTCGGAAGAGTAAGCGCCCTGGTTTATCAGAGAACGATTCTACTTTTTACTTATGTAATCTCCTGCAGTAAGAGTAGGTTTGGTGACGAATTTTTTGACACCTTTCAATATCCTCTACTGTTCACAAATGGACCTTAAAGTACCTATTACCCTGGAGCTGCGGACATCCTAACAGGTTACCGGGGGTCTAGGTCTAATTAGGAGTAGGAATGGGGTGGTTTTTAGTCAGTAAGAGTCTTACACTCTCTCTCGCCTAACCCGGGCAGGAGAAGGCATTGGATAATTTTCTCCCCTCAAAAACGTGCCTAGTCCCAATAAAATAATTATATAATAGTTATACAGTTCAGACGTCACTGACAACCACCGAATGACTTAATAATCAATTAATTGTGCTTGTATTCCTAGTTATTCCTTATAGTCACAAACGGGAAAACTATTATCTTCCACATATGAAGTAATTAGTTGAGTAGTACTTGTACGATAGCGAAGTGGTAGTGCTCAGGTACCTGTAGGGCAAAGTAGTGTCTTTTTTTGCGAAAAGCCCACCACAACCTCCCAAAACCGCTGCAACGCTTGTAAGCCAGAATCTACAGTAGATACAACCATGAAAACACCGGAACATTGAAGTCCGGCGCGTCCCAGGGACATTAATAACTGTTTTGGTTCCTGCAACGAAGTGAATCAGAAGATATTATAAAAGGAGAAAAAAAACACAATAGTTTCCAAAGTAGTGTCTGATAAAGGGCTGAAGTGATTAGAAACTGACTCATACGTGCTGCCATCATAATAGGTCCTCTCAAATTTGTGGTTCTTTCGTCAAAAGACCACTACAGAATCAACTTGCACAGTTCTCTTACATAATTCTTTATTAGTCTGGACTTTAAAAGAGACAATGAGTTTGTTTCGTCATTTTGCTGCTGAGTTCCTCAATCAGTTGATTGAGGAACTCAGCAGCGCCCGTGCCGGTTGTCATATTGGTGATGTTGCTGTAAACAATCTCAGTTATGCGGACGACATGGTGCTGCTCAGTCCCTCGGCCAACGGTTTAAGGAGACTTGTTAGCATCTGTGAAAAATATGCTACGGAACATTATCTTACCTATAACGTTAAGAAATCTGAGATAATGATATTTAGGAGTGGTAAAGGTCCCGATAATATTTTACCGATCAATTTATGTGGGTCCACGCTAAATGTTGTTAGTAAATTTAAATATCTTGGTCACATTATTAGGGATGATCTATTGGATGACGCTGATCTGGAACGCCAAAGGCGTAGTATAGCATGTCGTGCCAACATGTTGGCTCGGCGTTTCTCACACTGCACCGACCAAGTTAAGATAACTTTGTTTGGTGCGTATTGTCAGTCTTTCTACACCAGTCAGCTGTGGTACAGATACACAAAGAGTGCTTACAACACTCTTCGTGTACAATACAATAATGCTTTTAGAGCAATCCTAAAGCTTCCCTGGCGGTGTAGTGCGACTGGCATGTTTGTGGAGAATAGGGTTACTGACTTCTATGGGCTTATGAGGAGGCTCAGGGCGTCTTTCCAGGCTCGTCTATGTGCTTGTGGGAATGAATTGGTTTCGGTAGTGTTCCATCACGTGTACTTGTTGAGATTGGAACTGACGTACCTTATGATGAAAATATAACTAAGTAAATGATGATAGTTAATGATTGAAGTTGTTTAATTTTAATTCTATCTTATTATAATTTTAATTTTGTTTTATTGTAATTTTAATTTTAATTTATTGTAATTTTCATTTTATTTTATTGTAATTTTTAATGTAATTTTCATTTTATTTTATTGTAATTTTCACTTTATTCTACTGAAATTTTTATCTCACTTTTTTTTTTTTTTGTCATTTGTAAATTTGTGATTGTTGTGTTACTATGGGTTCCTATGCCTGAAATAAATGTATTATTATTTCTTCTCGGAGAAATCAGATGGGAAATACCACATCTAGTAATTTAAAGATATACATATAAAAGTTTTATTTTATAATTTGTACAAATAAATATCATCATTTGACTGCCTCGTTGGCCGAGTGGTCGTAATCGCAAGTGCGGCAGCCGGGCAAGGGGTCTCGGGATTCCCGGGTCGGGCAAAGTATTACCGGGTTTTATGAAATAAAACCGCATCAAAATCCGTTGCGTAGTTTTAAAGATCTAAGCATACATAGGCACAGAAACACTGCGGATAGCGATTTTGTTTTATAGTATGTAATGATGTAGCGATGTGAAAATTCGTGCTTGTGTGTATTTGTTACTCAATCGCGTCAAAATGGATAAAGAGATCGGTGTGAAACTTAGAACAAGGGTAGATTATGATCTTTCTTTTTCTTTTGAGGGGGGAAATCATCCAATTACTTCACTCGCCCGGGTGAGGCGAGAGGGAGTGTCAGACTCTTACTGACTAAAAACCACCCCGTTCTTACTCTTGCACTTCGAGCCGGAGCCCCGGCAACCCGTTAGAACTTAACGTTTTTTTTTTTAAAGGGGGGAAAATCATCGAATGACTGGTCCCGCCTGGGTGAGGCGGGAGGGAGTGTCAGACTCTTACTGACTAAAAACCACCCGGTTCCTTCTCCTGCACGTCGAGCCGGAGCCCGGGTTACCCGTTAAGGACTTAACTTAAGTACTTCGCGGCTCCGTATCGGCTCCATTTGGGCCCCATCTGTGGTGGTCTGATGTAGATTATGGTCTGAAAAACAAAGGCTGCTTAAACCGTGAACGCGGATGAAGCCGGCTCTGGCAACCTAGTTTAATATAATATGCATACATTGTGGGTTAAAACATCGTGAATATGAACGCATCCTAAACCAATATGGCGGGTGTAGCCAATTGTCTATTTCCAGTATATCGGTAATGGACGACATGACACACCGCTTGCCGCTCTCTCAGTATTTATAGCGTATGGACAATTGTACAATCACACTAGTTGTTACATAGTTACAATATTATTTGTACTCACTTCTAAAGCACTTTGTGTCTTCTGATGTTCGTTTGCAAGGCTTTTTGGTAATCCAGTGTTAACCAGATTTGAGTTAATGTCCGTATTTTCTACTACTAGGTTTGTCTCACGCCATTTTACCCTCTGCTGGGCTCAATAAAATTAAAGGTTTTTTCGTTTTACCGGAGATTAACGCGTCCAAATAATCGAGAGAATTCTCTTAATCGGTGATCTAACGGCGATTATCTAATCACTTGTTAAGTTTGGGGATTATGGTATATCCTCTTTATATATATAAGTTGGCTTAAACAGTAGTCGTATTTTGTACTGATGGTGATATTTTTCGCCCCCATAGCTAGTATAGCGCCAATTTGCTTCTACTTTTAGTTTATCAATCAACATCATCAGTCCATGGTAGTCCGCTGAGGGAGCATGGACCTTTAGATAGTCTATATTTTTTATAAATATCTGTATTTTTCTTTTATTTTTTTTACTTTTGTGTCTGCGTGCGTGCCTTCTGTCAAATAAATGCTTTTTGTTTCTATACAGATAAGTAAAATTAGAGTGTGTGTAATATTAAGATAACCGCTTTTTACTACATGCATTTGAATATACATACGATACACATTACACATACCAAAATAACACCTGATGGTAAACAATCGGCGCCGCCCATGGACACCTGAAACACTAGAGGCGTTAAAAGTACGTGACCGGCCTTTTGGGAATTGGGAATTTGAGGATTGTGAATTCATGGATTGGGGCAATTGCAATTGGGCGCCCGGTAACCTCACTCACACGACGAAACAACACAAGCTTTGTTTCACGTCGTGTTCTGCTCGATCGTGGTATCACTCCGGTCGAGCCGTCCCATTCGTGCAGAAGCAGGGCTCTCCCACACATTCCCTGCCGAACCACGCGGCTATTTCTCGGAAGTAACATATAGTTTTCAGTATGATTTGTTTCAATTAGTGAACTTCATTGGAGCGGTGCATGTCAGTCATAAATTAATGTCACTGCACTGACTCATGTCTTTATTATCAGTTATCATATAAACGGTAACTAATTTGAATTAATTGATTGTTTCACTGGTCGACTGGTTGCAAACGCAAATCAAATGGGTCTTGGGGTGGTAAAATAATTAAAAATTAAAAAACTGCGTTTAAAAAAATCGACTTCAAAAACGAATGACAAACAAAAAGTAAAAATTAAAAAGGAAAAAAATAACTATTATTGGTCATACGTACTTATAGCTTACACACCCACTGATAGGTTAGATTCATTAAAACCTTAATAGATACCTTACATTATTGAGCTGTTTACAATTTTATTATGGATTATACCAGCTGTGACCATTGACTACTTTATATTTTGTTGTGGGTCCTCCTTTTTTGAAGTCGGTTAAAAAAGTAAGTTTATTTCAAAATTGTTAGTAATGGTAAAGGCCTGCGACGCACTTGAGACCCCTCTAGTATTCCGGGTGTCCATGGAAGGCGCTGATTGCTTACCATCGGGTGGTTAGCTCGTTTGCCTCCTATTCCGTAAAAAGGGTACTCATTCACTTTCGGGCTTCCAAACAATTTTAGCGGAATTAACACGTTAAACGCCATGGCAGTCACCGGTGACCGACATTAGCGGAGGATTTGCCTTCAACAGTTTTTTATTGGCAGCCAATGCCTTAAACAATAATCTACATGATTTCTATACGCACATAACTCTTAAAGGGCTCAATCAAATGTAATTTTGTTTCTCTTTGTTTGTAGATAAATATCTATGGATGGTGAACATCACTGGTATGACGACGAACGACTATACCACTCACGAGACAGCGATGAAAGTCCCATCTTGTCCCACAGGTGAGATATTGTAGAATACAGTCTGTCTGTCAGTCTGTTTATGGAACAACTGCACGTTTTTACCAACCGCCCCTAAACCACCTCTTAACTAAAACCAATGGTCGTTTTCTCATCTCCTAAAGCTTAAGAATGTCGCGGAGAACCTAACGGGTAACCGGGGCTCCGGCTCGACGTGCAGGAGAAGGAACGGGGTGGTTTTTAGTCAGTATGAGTCTGACACTCTTCCGACTCACCCAGGCGGCGCAGTCATTCGATGATATTCACCCCTTAAAAAAAAAGATTATGAATTCCTTAAACTAAGTTTTTTTTACGGGGGAATATCATCCAATGACTTCTCCCGCCCGGGTGACGCGAGAGGGAGTGTCAGCCTCTTACTGATTAAAAACCACCCCGTTCCTACTTCTGCACTTCGAGCCGGAGCCCCGGCAACCCGTTAGCCCTCAGCGGCTCCGTACCGGCATCAGCCCTATTGGGTCCATCTGTGGTGGTCTGATGGCACTTGACGACATTTTCGTTTTCTAAGCTTTTAAGTTACACCTAACAGGACAGGTAAGGGATTAGTTTAGGTGTTCACGCTAAATAAGTCCTAGTTGAGAGATGGTTTAGGGGTGGTCGATAAAAGGTTTTATAATTCCTTCCTCTGTATTTTTTAAAAAGATATTTTTTTTCGGGCTGACATAAACAGGGCTATCAGAGCGTCAAGTTTTATAATTGGGTAATTTCCTTAATCAAAAATAAATTATTTCGACTGTTCAATACAATAACATATTAAAAAATAATCAAATTTTTATTAAGTAACTATATGATCAACTTCATTTTAGTATTATTCCACCAAATTCTTAAGAAACAAGTATTCTGTTTGACGCTAAACACACGTGACGTCATAATTCATAGTACAAAACTCTCGTTGTTGACAGTTCGATAAAAGTATTGAATGTGACTTGTGAGCAAATACCCAATTTGTCGATTTGGTTAATGCCGCGAATTGAACTCGAAACAACTTGTTCAGTAGTCACGCTACGGCAATAGATATAGGTTAAATAAACATTATGAAGATCAATAAATTTAAAAAATGTCATAATAAGCACTTTAAATAATTGCTCCTGTGACCTCGTGGTTGATAAATTGACTGTCAAACTCCCGGGCCCGAGATGATAGATTAATAGACAATTATCCTATTTGTTGTCAATGGCGTAAGAGGTCACTAGTTTGACAGCTGATCCATATTATGATTTTGACAGAAATATTAGGGTACCGGTTCCGAAACAGTGTCATTAGCCAAACGCCTCTTTAGCGCTTGTCTACAGAGAGAGTAGAAATCAAAATGTATGGGGATGACACTGACAAGTGTCAAAATTTACGTCAATTCCATATAATTTGAAATCTATCCTACGTGTCTTCTTCTCTGTCGTTTCGCTCTTGGCAGAGCGGTCGTGGTCACGTTGAGGCGGCTGTATTTGTGTTGGTGCCCGATACAGCTTTCCTCACGATCTCCCGCCATCTCTCTCTGTTTGTCTGGTGCAGCAGACTGCACCCAGTGTCAGAACACTGGGTTCTACGTGTAGACAAGTGCTAAATGGCATTTGGCTACAGCTGCTGGCGAGTATCTGTGGCGACACATGTCATATGTCAAATGACGGATCAACGATCAACGGATGACGTCACAAAAATCCTACATCGCACATGTGAAATTTACATGCGAATTAACACGGATAGAAAATCCCAAACAACAACTGTGAGGCAGAAATCCGGCGGGCTTTCCCACGCACGCAGGCACGATCACCTCCCCTGCAGCTGTAGCGAAATGCCATTTAGTGCTAGTCTACTTATAGAGTAGAAAACTAAATTATATGGAATTGACGTAAATTTTGACACTTGTCAGTGTCATCCCCATACATTTAGTTTTCTACACTGTCGGTAGACAAGCGCTAATGTGGCGTTTGACTACAGGCACTGGTCAGAGGATCCTCCTTTTCCGAACTTAGGGAACTTTACTCTCTGCTCTCTAGTAGTTCCCTGTAGTTCTCTGTAATGTGACGTAACTGTTTCGAGACACAGAGGTAGCCTTCCTCTCTTCCTCCTCTTCTGCTAGTAAAGTTTTTCTCAGTCTAATTACGTATCTCGTAATCTTTAGTGAAATCAGTATGTCTCACGATACTTATTATAAAAACATGTAAGATTATTCAGACACCACTGACAAACGGCGAAGAAATACATCGTGAGGAAACCTTGGCTTATAATTTGTAATTATAAGTTTGAAATCGCCAACCCGCATTGAGCAAGCGTGGTGATTGATCAAACCTCCATGTGAGAGCCTTTGCTCAGTAGTGGCCACTTATAGGCTCTTATTGATGATGATCATGTTTAATTGAATTCTTTTTCGCCTTTCCAGATATGACAAATCCCGCCGTATTTCCCCATACTCCTCGCCGAAGATCGAGGATCGGGAGAGACGGTCCACCCTGACACTGCTGGCCAAGTTCTTTCTCTTCTGCACAGCCATGATACTCTTCTGTGTCCTTCTGTATATACCTGTATATATTAAGGCTAATGATCAAATTTCTAAAGGTAAGTTTTTTTGACTAGCCAATCTCGAGTCGTGGGGTGTGATTTAATCATGGGTTTTTCTTTGTGTGTACAGAAATTATTGTTCTGGGTATGAAGTCAGCATTGAAAGTATAAAAGAATAGCTTCCATCGTGTCGTGGGTGCGTTTTCAGCACGGAATAATTTTGTATGTGTGCAAACATTATTCTGGGTGATGTGTATCTGAACTTGTATGTTTATTTACACACCCACAACACGGGAGAAAATTCTTGAGTGGGTATATATTTAACTGCAACAAATATCTTCTATATGCGAATTATCAATGGCTTGTAATCCAGTAATCTGTATCAGAGGCGTATTAAACCTAGGGAGCGCTCTAGGCAAGCACCATCATAGGCGCCCCTTTGTTACCTGGCGCCCTAGGCAATTGCAGTTTGCCTTAGGAATAATACGGCTCTAATCTATATTATTTACTGACACTGTAAATAATTTCTAGCTACAGTCGCGGGCTGGTCGATGCACACAAACCGTGACACGAAGGTGTACATACAACCGAACAACGTGACCACAATACACGCCCCCACACACATATGCACGAAGAAACAGAAAGACAAACTGTTCCTACTCATAGTGGTCTGCTCAGCCACCGTCCACTTTGACAGGAGACAGACCATAAGAGAAACCTGGGGGAATTACTCCACGTATAGAGAAATGACCAAGTTGTATAAAGCTGTTAAGCAAAAATACGCGAACTACAATTATAGTTACGACCTTTATACGGAGACTTATGTCAATAGGGCATACTCTAGAGTTAAACGGTACATATCTAGCTTTAATCAGCTCCTACCAGGACTGGCTAAAGCGTTACAAGACAACCTGGTTAATGAGAAGACTGACGAACAAGTACCTGAAGAGAAAAGGTTCGAAGATGACGTAATGTTGCCAGAATTTGATATGAATGAACAATTAGGCGATCAAACTGAAGCAACGTATGATTATTACGATACAAATGTTATGAGAATCCCTCCTAGAGGTTACGAAAAATCGCCTGATTTAGAAAAAGTATTGACATTATTAAAATTAAATAAGAATTTTCGGAAAATGAAAGAGGAGAACGCTGATTTTGGCAACACCGATGTGGATTATAAGGTTGTGTTTTTGTTGGGGTTGCCAGCTAATGATAATGATTCGTTAATCCAGAATAAGATTGAAGAGGAGGTGCAGAAGTATGGAGATATCATACAGGAGAGGTTTATAGACTCTTACAGTAACTTGACACTGAAATCTATAATGCTGCTGAAGTGGATCACCAGTAACTGTAATAATAGTGGTGAGTTTCACACAATAATGTCTTAACTAGCTACTTTCATGCAGTTTCACTTGCTGCTCCGCTCCTTTTGATCTTAGCGTTATGTTTTATAGTCTACTACCTTCGTCGATAATTGGATTATACGACGCAGAAATATTTTTTTTAAATTGGCCCAGTAGTTCCGGAGTTGATGAAGGTGTCCTTTCGGAGTATAGCACGTTTAAAAAAAAAATTCAGCTTTATAACAAACTACGTCTCATGATTAAGAGTCCCGGTTTGGCTTGAAAGTAGTCGAACGTTTTTCGAATGATGAGTAACTTTAATTATATGCTTGCTGACCGATCGGTGGCGCTAAAGTACCTCTGGGTTATTTAAAAAAATTCTCAGTAGTAGCACGGAGTCTGGAATTGTGACCGGTATATGGCAATAGGCTCACTTCCTATTACATGGGACTCATAACGTAAGTAGTGACAAGTGGGTGTTACATTACACAGTGGCATTATGTGCCGTAATGTGCACCTCTGCCTACCTCTTCGGGGATAAAAGACGTCATATTATGTTATGTTTAATTATATTATTTATTTTTCAGTTCGCTACATATTAAAGTCAGATGATGACATGTACATCAACGTGCCGAATCTTATGGATATTTTGAAAAATAAATCGCAGGAGTTTGACGCAAAGTACAAGATTCAGAATTCCAAGGAATACCTACTTACGGGACACCTAATACGTGGAGCTAGACCTATTCTAGATTCTAGTAATAAATGGTAAGACCTAGAAATTAGTGTTTTAACTTTTTTAAACTCGTTTTTAATTGCCGATGTCTCCGATAGTGTTCGATGCCTCAGTCGGGTAAAGTGTAGTTGAGAGTTTTTTTAAAGTTTCTTAGGTTCATTTTTGACTGTCTCGTTGGTTAGTGTGATTGTTCAGCATGGAGTCACGGGTTCGATTGCCGGATAAGCATAGTATTGTAATTTTCAAAAATTTTTTTGCTCTGGAATTCGATTGTCGAAGTCGAAGGTTTGATTTCCGGGTAATTGCTCAGTAAAATCAGATTATTTTTAAAACTATAAAGCTGTTGTCTTAGATTATTTGATTCTAAAATACTGCAACACTATTCAGGATAACGGAAACAAAAATATAGACGAGAAAGTAAAGGAATGCAACAACAAGACTCAAAAGACTGGCATAGGGCGTACTTTGTCGTGGATAACACATAAGTCATTGTAATTTAAAAACTATAAAACTTGGATTTTTTTTATATTTCTCTGATATCTTTTGAAACCTTGTCCAACACCTGGGGCCATATGAACGTCGACTTCAGAGGTCGGCTTCAGGGTCGGGACCCGAGACTTACTTATGACACCATATTATGTTGGTGGATTAATGTTAAAACGACTTGCATTTAATTTATTGGTATTTATTGTAATACATTTAGATTATACGGACAGAGCCATGTCGGGTTCACACACCAAAATATGACAGTAAGACAGTGCACTCTGTGACAGTTGTTAACCTTAAATAATGTAAATAGTGTTGGGGCCATTACTTACTAAAATAATGATGTATAGTTAAAGGTCAAAGTCCACTGCCACCGTGAGTGGTGTTCACACGTTAATGCATAAGTAATTTCATATTAATATGCATAAAAACGCGTGCGTACGCATAAACATACGCACGTGTACGCACACGGATAAAAACATGCGTGTGCATGTGTGTATAAGCGCTGCAGCGCAACCGATAGTAGTCTTACGGTGCCAGTGGACTTTTGACCCCACAAAAACCCCTGTCTACCCCATCTTTATTTTAACCGACGTAAAACGAATGTGGTATTGTGTTTTCAGGTACAGTCCTAAGTACATGTACGCTGGTAGGGTGTACCCCAAGTACCTGTCTGGTACGGCATACGCGTTTTCATATGACGCTGCCAACGCCCTCTACCGTGCTGCACTCAGGACTAGTTATTTCCATCTTGAAGACATCTTTATTACTGGTAAGTTCTTTTGTTCAATGTGACTTTTTCTGAGTTATATGTATTTTCTAAGATTATTTAGACACCACTGACAAACGGTGAAGGAGAACATCGTGAAGGATTCTGTATTTGATGTCGATGATTTGTAATCGCCAACCCCCATTGAGTAAGCGTGGTGATTAATACTCAAACCTTCTCCGAGACCTTTGTCCCACAGTGACAGTTTGTGACAGTTTTTTAAGTGTGTGAGAGCCATGCTTCGGCACGAATGGGCCGGCTCGACCGGAGTGATACTACGGCCGAGCAGAAAACCGACGTGAAGCAACGCTTGCGTTTTGTTTCGTCGTGTGAGTGAGGTTACCGGAGGCCCGGCCCAGTTTATATGTATGTTTGTTTCTCAATCACGTCATAACGGCTGAAGGAATTGGAGTAAAATTTGTAACAGTGGTAGATTATGCTCTGGAATAACAGATAGGCTACCTTTTATACCACGGGAACGCGGGCAGAGCTGCTCGTAGAGGTTAGTACTATCATAATCACTAGCTACTTCCACGCGGTTTCACTCGCTCTGCTCGGCGCCTATTAATCGTAGCGTGATATTTTATAGCCTATAACCTTCCTCGACAAGTGGGCTATCCAACACAGAAAGAATTTTTCAATTCGGACCAGTAGTTTCGGAGATTAGCGCGTTCAAACAAAAAAAAACAAACTCTTCAGCTTTATAATATTAGTATAGATTTATCGTAATTACTGTTCCAGGTATGTGCGCAGCCCGCGCACGTCCGCGCCTGATCCCCAGCAACGACTCCAGCTTCTCGTACCAGGCGGGCAGTGATTGGGTCAACTGTAACTGTCATGCGTACGCGCACGCCACGGAACATCGCATCCCATTGGAGAACTTGCGCAAATTGCACCAACAGCTGCAAAAACCTGATCTACTTGATACGTATGTATACTTTTTGTGGTGAGCTACTGGTGACGGGTTTGATTCTTTGGTCGTAAAAGGAAGAAAATAAGAATGAATGAAACACAGTTAGAAAATTAATTTAATGCATTATTGTTTGATTTCGCGGTTTTTGATATTAGTTGAGTGATTGCAAGTGTCGCGTATTCGATTCCTGGTTCGGATAAGAAACTAATGTTTTCTTGTTTATCCTAGCTAGAAAAATACAAATATCAAGTATGTATATCAATATTTACATTGAAAACTCAAAATAATTGAGAAAACTACCACATTTTAACATTTAAAATGTTCTGAATTTCAGATGCGAACGAATTCGACTGACTCAGGTAAGGAAGGATCGACTTAAACCAAAAACGCCGCCTAAACGATTATCAAAACATTAGCTGACAGAACACACGAGATTCAACCTTATTCCTTCACTACTAAGAACCATTATTACATGGCAATATATGCATAAATGTCGTGGTGGCCCGGAGGTTTAAGACGCCCACTTCTCATGCATGAGGGTGCGGGTTCGAAACCTACCAACGGCAAGTACCAATGTGACTTTTTCAGAGTTATATGTACTTTCTAAGATTATTTAGACACCACCGACAAACGGTGAAGGAAAAACATCGTGAGGAAACCTGGACTTATAATTTCTAATTATAAGTTTGAAATCGCCAACCCGCATTGAGCAAGCGTGGTGATTAACGCTCTAACCTTCTCCGTGTGAGAAGAGGCTTTGCTCAGCAGTGGGCATTTATAAGCTGTTGATGGATATGCATAAAAAGCATTGGAAAATGAACCTTATGGGTAAGGAAATATAGTTGTTAATCTCGTTGGTTCTGAACAAATAACTTGTAGAACAATTATATGCCTTTATAATGGGGATGGAAATGATGTAAAGTTGGACTAGATATGACTTCTTTAAAAAGTTCGCTCAATTAAAAAAGTGTTAGGAAAATCATATAATTAAATGTAATGCAATTATATTTAGTTCTGTTAATATAATTATATAATTAAAATAAATAAAAATATATTGAAAACAGATTTCGAAAGAGAATAATGAAATAATTACTATTATTTATACTTATCTACTAAGCAGTTAAAAATCAGGTTATATGCCTGAAAATACCGCATCAAAAGCGGTCCATCCAATCGTGAGATTATTACAAAAAAATTGTATATTAATACATGCAAGTAAAACTGAGAATCTTTAATTTTTTAAAGTCGTCTTTAAGATTAAAACTACGACTTTTTTTAATACTCTTTTGAAAACCATATCAAAATCGGTCCGGCTAATCGTGAGATAATAGCGTTCAGACATGTGCGGTTAAAAATCAACTTTATTTTTAAAATAAATAAAAATTATTAAAAAGAGAACAGATGTCACTTCTAGTCCCATTTTACATCTATACGGTGGAGTGCTGGTTGCTATTCTAAGTCCTATGCTGATTGTAATAAAGTATAAAATGGGTTGCGCATGGCCACCATCGCAATTTTATATACGTACCTTATATTTTATCAAACACTTTATTCTTGGGAACATTACTGAAATTTGATCTTTAATACGTCGCTTGTTAAGTTCAATTTAGCATGATCAATCCTTTCTTTTATATAGAATGAAATTGTTCATTGAATTTTCGACTTTATGAACTAAACAATAGCGTAAAAAAATCTATAAGAGATATGATAATATGTTTTCCTAAACGAGTGAACAAATAGGTTTATTCGAACAAAAATTGCAGCTATAACTAGTCCTAAATAGACTCCGCCCATATACGAAAAATCCGAAACATAATCGATTTTTCGTATCCGATAATTTCGGAACGGTATCAAAATCGTCTTATACTCTTTTCTAAAACTAAATAATAATAAATACGCGTAAAAAGAATCTCATAATAGTTAAAATAATTCGTGTATTGTGAATAAAACTACTGGTTTCAAGATACTAGACTAGACTACTCGACTAGTTTCAAGCCATGCTAAAATCCTAGGTACCAGGGCCATTCTTGATATAGTCTTAAACTTGAGCGGTGTTTGAGTATTTCACTATTAGCCCAGCTAGACTGTCAAGGACTGTTGAGGATGCTTAGCAGGCGAGTTGGAGACTGCAGTGTAAAAGGTTCAGGTGTATCAGAGAGCTCTGCTGCACGGTCTCTGTCTAATGTGTAGTCCCTTAGTCTGGTATACGACACCCGCGGAAAGAGGGGGTCGGTGACTAATGTATTTATATTCTGCCGTTGCCATTGTAATTATAAAATTCAGTAGTGTTGTTGACAATACACGATATATTAAAGTAAAGCTTTTTAAACTTCTTGGGGGGTGAAAAGGTATAGTGAACTCGCTTTTTCCCCCCATGGGCTACTGTCTCTTTGCTCACTTAATGGCACTTGTGCGAACCTCTCGTTTCGTCGTCTAATAGGTAATTAATAAGTGTCACACTATTATTTGACAGCTACAGTAATTGGACAAAAATCCTCTTCAACATTTGCACCATCTAGTGGGCATAAATATAGTAGCCCCCATTCCCGGCAGTTAGATTTACCCTTACCCCTCTTAGAGTAAAACTCGGGGTAAGGGTCGCTAGTGAGAGTAATTTACCCCGTTTGGGGGTAAATTTGGGGAACCGGTTGCCTTTGTATCTTAGTTCAGATAATGGTTAGGGGTAGTTATAGACTTGGTCTTTAGTAGGTAAGTAGTATACCGATGCGCGTTTTCACCAACTGCTCTTAAACTTTAAGGTACCCCTCAGTTTAGGTAAGTTACACTTACTGATGTTTTGGTTTTCTCCAGCCTATAGGTAAAGGTAAGGAGTTAGTTTAACTGCTTCATTACGCTATGTAACTCTTAGTTAAGAGGCGGTTGGTGAAAAAGGCCAGTACTGACCAGTTTCACCAACATCTTCTAAATTGAAATGAACAATTAAGCTAAGACAGGTGACACTTAATGTCATTATTGTTTTTTACCAATCTATTAATGACAATTGATACGTAAGTGGATACCGTTACAAAAATAAAAAAGAACAAATTTGTTGGTTTGGTTACTTTAAATGCGGGTAGGTACACTAAGTAACTCTTAGTTAAGTGGTGGTTTAGGGGTGGTTGGTGGAAATGGTTGTTAAGTACACCTGTGGCATTCCGTGATATTTAGCGACATAGCTTTAATATAGAGTTACTAACTTTATTATAATTGTTATTGAAATATGCAAATCGATATTTACTATGAATCTCATTTTTTTTTATTATTGTATTTTTCAGCTCTCTCACGTAATTATTTGACGAGGTACTTGTTTCAAGCCATGCTAGAGGCTCATATTCATGAACAGCAGCAACAGTCGCAGCACCCGACTGCGACTGTTGCTGAATGCTGCTCATAAATAGTCGAGTACCTCGCCATACAGTTACAGTGGCGTATTATGACGTCTTAAAGCCACAGTGGTTCCGCCGAGGGAACGAGATCTCGCTAGACGACTTGTATAGCTCTGTTTCTTTCCCTCAATGGAACCATTCTGAGTTTAGGATGTCTTAATAACTCCACTGAGAAAGCCGAAAAATGTAATAATTAATTTAGTACGTTTCACGAATGTTATAACTTATTTTTTTGTTGTTGACATATCTGTACAGTTGACGTTATCATGACACGAAGATTACATAAGAAAAAAAAAATTTTTTTTGTTGGTATTTTTTAATTTTAAAATCAATGTTCTATATGCAGCTACTAGAAATTAAGCATAATAAAAATGAAAAATTTCAACTCTATAAGTTCTTTTTTAACGTTGATATTCCAATAACAATTGTTTAGTTCGTATTTTTAATTTATTTTAGACGATCAACATAAGTTTTGACAATAAGTGGACTACTTATATATGCCATATATAATAATTATATAACATATATATACTCTATATATCATTGTTGTGTGCTTCGAATGTACCTGATATCTATGCTAGCTTGCACATAACCTTGCTTCATTAATTTTCAGCAGTTTTACAGTTATTTTTTTGTTTTATTATGCCTTGAATTTGGTTTTCAGAGGTATGAGCAAAGACACATGTACATTTTAATTTAAATATTATAGATTTCTGCTGTCTAAAATATTGTGTTCGAAGATAATTAAATGACTTTGAATATATTACATAAATTGCTTTATAACAGTATATTTTTGCATAGAAATTTGATTATAAATATACAGCTTACTCAAATACTTTGAAAGAAGTTCGCGCTATTTTCAATTTAAAACCGCGTCTCATTTGTTATCGAGCCGGTCAAGTAAGCCGTATGCTTATCAACAGAAAAATGTTCAAACCTCTGAAAATTGCGTGTAAATACTATATTTGTGTAACCAATATATTACTTCATTTTTGAATATCATTAGAAATTTTTACTATTTTTTTTTTCAATACTGGCTGTGAATGGAACGCTTCCAAAAATGGCGACAGGTGATAGAAAAAATCAAGTTTTATTTATATAAAAGTAAAGAATTAAATGTTTCGTTTTATGTAATTATAGTTGTAATCAACTGCTCACGGCTGATGTTGTATGACGTAAACAAAAACGATTAGAATACGGTAGTTTCCTATATTTTATTTTAATGTCCGTCAGGTACATTAATTTAAAACTTTAGACACGTATTTTTTCTTTTCTCACACAATTAAATACTTTCAACGATATATTAATTTAAAATATCGTGTGACGCCACAGTGTGCCACATTTTGTAGCATGGTATGACGTAACAACCTCCCACTCCTAAACTTAGCGCCATTTTATCTAAGTATTGCAACTTAATACGAGAAAATAAAAAAATACGTGTCAAATATTTTTTCATTATCTAACTGACGGACTAATAAGATTTTTAATTTTGATAGCCTGGCAACTACCCAATTGTAAACAATTTCTTTTTGTCGGCGTGTCGGGAGCGTTCGTTTACACCGTGTATAATTGATTTTATAACTTCATATAATTTAATTAATTCAATATTCCAATATCATAAAAGTGCAATTAAGTTTTGTTATCTATAAAATAAAAATATTTATCGATGTTTAGTACCAAGAAGTAATTTTCAATCACAAAGATTGCCATATGTTTTTTTTTGTTTTAATCAAACTTATACTTGTTTTAAAGTAATTTTTAATAGTAAAAATTTCTAATGATATTTCTTTCCAGAAACTTATTCTTGTAGTGCGTAGTATTTTTGCCCATTTTACATTTTTTTTTCATATTTTTTTTCTTTGCTCCATTTCAGATTAAGGAAAGCCAACGTAACCGTTCTATGATTTATAAGTTTTTAAACAAACTAACAAAAAAACCTACTCTCGAGTGTTGGAAAAATGAAACTCCTGAAAGTTGATATTTATTCAGAAAAATTAGTTGGATAAGTCGATACTTTTTTTATTTATTTTTTATTTTTTCTTAGTTGGTAGTTGCTCAATTTTCGATTTTTTTTTTGTTTTTTTTTTATATTAAAGTACACAATGAGTTTATAGTGTCGTTGTAAAGTTCATATTTGTCAATTAAATTAGGATCAATGCAATTTATGCTTTAATAAGAACGCAATATGTTATAAATTACAATGACACACGAAATTACATTATATTTATGTAAACAATTGCCATCTTATGAACAAAAGCTGAAAAATGAGAAAGGAATTGAATGGAATTATTTATTTCTATATAGATTTACCGTTAAAGTAGTAAACTTTATTTTAATTAGTGCAATAGTATATAAAATATATACAATAAAAATTTACATATGTTATGAAATTTTATGTACTACCGATGTTTTTTTGAAAAATCGGTTTTTCGACTTTATTATTTTGTGTTCACATCACATTTTTCTGGTTTTTTTTTTATTATTTGTGTTTGCTATAATTAATAATTTTAACTAGCAGCTAATAGTATATGAATTTAGCACAGTTCTGCTTACTCTAGTCACAATACATCACCGCGATATTTTGCAAGCCACATTTTTTTTCTATTTTACACCAACACTAGCTAATATTAATTAATTATTTTTTCCGCCTTGCTACACTATGTGTTTTTTCTTTTTTCTGTGTATATATGTTATTTTATAATTTACACTCAATTTATATTACTTTTTAACTTAGATACTACATATTTTATGTGTAGTAGTGTTATTTACATTATATTTACGTACAATTTATTTATTCTTTAAAAATATATTATAGAAATCTCTAAAAACTTCTTTTTACAAAGTTTCTTTATTTACTTGTTTCTAAATAATTCTCGTCGCAAATTATTTGATTTTCGTTTTATATAATTATTTTAGTGCCATAAGGACATAATAAGATATAATGCGTTGTATAATAAAATCATATTTTATTACGATTTCAATAAATTAATATTAGAATCAAATTTGAAAAATTAATAACCGAAATTTCGTGAAAAACGCGTACGAAATGGAATCGTGCATTAAAATATAGATTACCTTCATACAATAAATTGTTATATTATAGCAGCTATAGTGATAATCGTTCATGAGATAGAGTCCTGTGATTAACGGATAGACAGTGAAACATGTCATAAAATCGTTTTATTAGGTATGGAAACAAAAACGATATAATGCGGGTTATAGACCATTCTTTTTTAACTGACTTCAAAAAAATGAATTTTGTCAAATAGCCTTTTTTTGTTAAAACAGTTGAACTGTTAGTTCTAATATTTGATCAAATCATCAGCACAATTCAGTCATTCAGTGCATATCCAAGCACAACTCAGGGCGTCCACCAAATGGTGGACAGATAAACTGGTAAAGGTCTGCGACAGTCGCTATATGCAAATCGTTTCCAACCTCGCGATGTCTAGTCTGCGGGGGAGGACTGTGAGACAGTGGACAGTCCGTGACTGATTCGATCTGATTATGATCAATTTTTCCTACATTAATACGTTTTGAAAAGTTAAAATTAATGGTCTGTAACTCGCATACAATAACTTCAGTTCCAAACGACCAGTCCATTAGTCAAAAATAAAAAAGCGCATAATTTTTATACCATTTCGTCCTGTATAATATATAATGTATATAAAATGTTACAATCTAGTATATAGTTAGGACATAAGTGACCTTTGTGGTTTCGAACGTGCCTATACCCAAGTTGGAAAGTTGACGTTATGATATATCGTCAATATAAGTCAGTATTAGATAATGCTACAATATAATATTTACGCAAATAACTGTATATTCGCCTGACACTAAGACTCATATCAATATTGTTTCATAATGTCATATCAAAATTTAATGTAAATAATTATTATTCAAAAATTTATTCTTCAAGTTTTTATTATTCAAGATTGAATTTTTTTTTGTATTTAGGCCAGTTTTTTGAGTTAGGGGATGGGACCGAAATTTAATTTTTTACTATTAAAATGGGTTTGTTATTTTTGGGGGCGGTTTTTGGAAATTATTAGGGTATAATTATTATTTTACAATTGGTTTTAGTTTATAAAATACTATTGGCATTCCATTAGCTACTTTGTAGCTTAGTCCAAAATATTTGCTCAGATATTTATTGAGATTTTTTAATGAAATTGTTTTTTTTTTACAAAATTACTATTTTTTTCAATATTGTGTATAAAATTGCTCATTTTTATTTTATTGGCTTTAGGTAGGTCCCTGCCTACCCCAATGAATTTATTGGAACGTAAACATTCTTTAATTGGTGATATTGGTTAATTTAAATTTTCTTTATGAAGATATTTATGAATTATTTTGAATTATGACTAGTTAATTAAAAACGTTAATTATTAATTAATATTAAAATTAATGAAGCATGCAAAAATGAAACAAATAATTAGTAACTTAAAGTATTCAGCTTGTCTTATGAGCGATGACGAAGTAAACTAGTTAATTAGGAATATAAACGGTTTGTGGGATTTAAAATTTAATTTAAAAGTTTAAATTAAACTAACTTAGAGTTTTTTTAGGATATAGAAGAATTTAAGTTATTTATTTGACGTAATAATATTACATTTTCTATAATAATAGTTTTGCAGGAACAATAATAATTAAAACATAATGTTGAACTTACAACCCTGTTAGTTACTGATATGAAAGTTAATGTTAATCACATTGAAGTTTGAAACTGAAGCTAAAATAGAAATTATTGTTAACCATTTTATTAAAAAAACATTTGTATTTTGTGTAAGAAACAAATAAGCACCACGAACACTGCAATAGTTGCTGCGGGATTCGGCTCTATGCAGAATTAGGCACGGGGTAGTGGTTAGTCAGTAAGAGTAACACTCCCTCTCGCCTCACCCAGGCGGGAGAACTCAGTCGATTAATTTATCCTCTTAATAAAGGCAGTCTTATACTAACTACTTTTTCGGAGTCGCGGAGAACCTAACGGGTTACCGGGGCTCCGACTCGACGTGCAGGAGAAGGAATTGGCTGGTTTTTAGTCAGTAAGAGTCTGACACTCCCTTCCGCCTCACCCAGGCGGGAGAAGTCATTCGATGATTTTCCCCCTTAAAAAAACAAAATACTAACTACTTTGGGGATCGAAAATAAGTTTTAATCAAGACAGTCTGTAATGACCAATGTCTATTGTTTTTCTTGATATCGAATACCTTCGCTTCGTATAATTTCATCGTGTGATTTCCATTAACTTCAATTAAAAAGTTTATCTAAAAATAAAATTGAAACAAGTTCTTATAATTCAAATATTTCCGCAAATGAATCAATAAATAAACTTATAGATTATAATTAAATATAAATAAATAATTATGAATAACATTTGGTGCCGTATTGTTGATAGGTGTAAGAATATATGTTTTATTTCAGCTAAAGATTATTAAATAGGCATGTTTGTGGGATTGAATAATATTTAATAATTATAGTTTTGTTAGACATTATTTTTGACACTCAGTCGAGTTCAAAATAATACTTTAAAAGGTTATAGAGAGAATAATCTCAATTAAAAGATTTACTAGGAGTCTTCAAGTCTCGGTAAAAGTTTTGCTCATTATTTAAACGAATCTCTTATTTATTATAAATATGTATGTAATAAAATATTATTTATTTCCTAGATAATCTTGTAAAATTGTTAAAAATCAATAACACTCGTAGTTTTAGCCACGACAACCGTCCATACTTGCATCAAAAAATATTTTGTTTGAATAAAAATTCTGTATGTATTTTATATACACTTAATAAATATTATTATTTACGTCATATTACTATGATTATTTATAAACTTTTAATATCAATTCTATATTAATTTAAATATTTTATTAAGAAAAATTGCTAAAACTGTCCTGTAATATAACGACGAAGTTTTACTTATTGTACCATTATATACTGTATAATTTATATTATTGCAAAGAGTTGAACGTATTAAACTGTCAAACACCGAGCGGTCACCGGTGACCGCAACCTATTGTTCTATAATTGTGTCTACAAAACCGGTACTCGACGAGTTAATATGTATAGAATAATAATCCTTATTTTAAAATGTATAAGATTTTTATTCATTTGTTTAATGTCAAAACTCCGTACGTATGGGTGCATTGATATTTCAGATTTTATTTGTATAATAGAGTTTTTATACGGTTAGTCTCAGTAACGATTTAGCTACTGAAAGCTATAGTACTACAGACTTTTGTCTTTACAATCGTACCGGTACCGAATCAATACATTTCTTTCTTAGGGCCAATTTTTCAATGCTCATATAAATTTTAACTGAGCAATAATTTTAAATATTTGACAATACTTCTGTACTAAAAACTGTCTAATGTCAATTTGATTCTACAGTTAAGAATTGTGCACTCGCCAACTAGTCACATTCAATACTGTTTTCGAACTGTCACAAACGAATTTTGTTCGACATTGTGTATTGTGACGTCACGTTTTTTAGCGTCAAACAATATACTTTTTTTTATTTGCTGGAAATATACCAAAATGAAGTTGGTCATAAAATCAATTAATGAAAGTGTTACAATTTTTTAATGTTTTGTTGTTTTGAAGAAGTCGAAATAATTTATTTTTGATTAAGGCAAGTATTCAATTATCTGATGATTTAAAAATCGGCACTTAATCTGCCACATTTCTTTACGATTTGAACCCACTTTGTATAAATACCCGTTTATATCAAAATCCTATCTCTGGCAGCTAAACTGAGACTGACCAAAAAGTTAGTTTTACATAATTTATTATTTTACGCCAAAATTAAGAACTGAACAGAATCTGAATATTATTTATGTTGTATTCAGTAATTGAATAGTATTTTTGTCTAAAATCTTTCAATTGAGATTGATATTCGGTTCTGAACGGTTATTAACTTTGACTGTGAACATGAATGATGTCATCCTCGTTTAGAATTTGGACAGTTTTTGAAATAAAGTATGTAACCGTACATGATTATTTTGAAACCGTTAATGCTTCAGAAAGGTAAAAGTACTAATGGTTATAGATAATTTTTTCAGTAAAAATGTATATTGGAAGATAAAAAAATCTCCTATTTTCAAATATCTTAATTCCCTGAAAAATCTATTGATTTAATACTCAAAAAGTTATTGACAAAATTACAAGTTTTTTTGTAGTATTTAAAACAGGAATAGTAAAGGTTTATCTATAATTATAAAGTAATTTTCTTTTCTTTAGTTAATATACATATGTCAATGTCCATAATGTATATGGCCATATACATTATGGACATTGTAAAAGATTATATATATCTTCAGTAATATATAAGAGAAAGATATCTTTGAAACATTGTTATAACCTAGGTCTGTGATAATACCTGTTTGAAGATATATAAAGTAGATATAAATGAATAATATATAAAAAGAGGCGGCCTATTTTTGATGTCATTGTTTAAAGAAAAATAATTGGTTCGGTCCTAGTTGTTGAATGGTAAAGAAAAGCTCAAATTGTATTATGTAGGTATATAAATAAGTATAATATATTATATATCGCTTTTAAACTTATATATATAGTATAATAGGATGTATAACTGATAATCTGATATTGAAATATTTAAAAATGGTGAAAATTTCATATACAATGAGACAAATTATATACGTAGTTATATTATTATAGACTGAGAAAACAGTATTTTGTCTCTGTTGCACAATCAAAACAAATATACTTGCAAGAGAAGGACAACAATAGATGTAAACGAGAAAAATTGTATCTGATTGCTTGTTCTTGTTGTATACAAGAATGATGCCAAGTAACTTTAAATATAAACGATGATATACCACAATACTACAGTATTAAGGTTCAAATTAAAACAAAATGGCGCAGCTTGAGAGTATTCTTTATTGGAATTTGAACTTTAATACATAGTGTTTTGGCGTATAATAAATACCGACCTCACAAAGGTCGCTTTCAACATCGTGATATGCAGTCTCAGACTGTGGGTTGCAGTGGACAGTCCGTAGCTGATAGTATGATGATGATGAATAGGTCTCCTCTTTTTTTAAATGTAGCACAGATAAAGTATGACTTCGAGTGAAAAGTGTCAAGTTTTAAAAGTTGGAAATTAGTTTTTCACAGATAATAAAAAGTTTAAGATGTCGTTGTAAGCTTCGCCTGTCCGTATGCGTAGATCTAATGTCAAACAATTTTTATAAATAAACGTTTATAAAACATTTTGCTGTTTTATTTTTGTTGAAAGTCTTCTGTTACCTTAAAAATACAATTGTTTAGGCTGTTGTTTGCCAGCGGGCAATGGAGCGTAGTATCTTGGGAGTCCGATCATCGGACAGAATAAGAAACACCATACTGCACTCCATGACTCAAATCGCTGACTGGCTAATGTTCTTTAGGTTGGTGTTGTTCGTCGAATCAGTCAGCCTCACCTGTTAATTGAGCTGATTGTAAACCGACACATGCGTACTGCCTTCAGAGCGGGTCCGCTCAAACTGTTGTGGTTCTTTCCTCAAAAGGCCACTACAGAAAGAACTCACACATTACCGTTTATACACATTTGTCTGGATTTTAAAAGAGACGGACCTCTGAGTTTGTTTCGGCATTTCTTCTCAGAGTAGTCAGTTAGGAGATGTTGGCATCATCGTTCGCTTGATAAAATTGATGTGTAAAAGTGCTGCCCTGTAGCCTATTTGCAGAAATAAATTCACTTGTTTCACTTGTGACGTTGGTCAGGAAGACGCAGTTGTAAAACAGAACTGTGTTGGTCACGTCTGCCACATGTCGGATGAGCGCTGGGCAAAATTCGCAACTGAGTGGACCTCACTCAACATTAACAGACGTCGCGGCAGGCCCGAGGAGATGGTGGAACGAATTTGACACCTACTACAAGGATTGGTCTCAGAAAGCTATGCACACAGAGGAGTGGAGGAAGAGAGAAAAAAAACTCATTTGTTAAGAAAACCTTGTCGTTTCAAATTTATATAATTATATTTTCAATCAAAAAAAAATAAATAAAAAATAAATACTTAGACCAATTTTGAATTCCACTTTTTCTTATAAAATGAATTTTTAAACACAGGAATTTATTTTCTAACCCAAATTGATTTTTTATCCAACAGTATTCAATTTTGAACTCAAAACATAGCATAAGGTGCTTTAAAGTATATGTGGCCTGCATCTATAGTTACAGATGAATGAACTGACAAATATCCTCACGAGGGGGTATCCTCTGTAATAGAAATTTTCTCGTTCAAAGATGTCCATAAGACTGAGGTCCTTTGACAGGAATCTTGATGTACGACAATCTGGAAAAATATTATATATTATATCATTTAGATAGCTTCTATTTCATGGCTAGTTCAAAATATACTTTTAGAACTATTCTTCTCAAATCGCCAGCCCCAAAAAGGCCAGTAATGCAGTTGTAAAGCTTTTGGTATTTCGTGTGTCCATGGGCGACGCCGATTGCTTACCATCAGGTGATCCGTTTGCTTTGCGTCCTATACCATGAAAAATTTTAAAAATCTTTTGTCTTTCAATTTGAAAATTGTCTTGATTTTGAATTTGAATAACTAGTTGTGTATTGTATAAAATAATTCTTATATAAATTACGTTTAAAAAAACCGACTTAAGCCCCCTATTTCATTGAAGACGGTTAATTAATATCCTGAAACATTGTAAAGAAGAACAAGTGTAAAGAACACTTCTGAAAACTGCATTGCGAGGTAATCGTGCACAAAAATTCACACATACAGGTCAAACTCCTTTTCTTGAAATCGGTTGATTACGAAGTCATCCTATTTATTCAGGATTTCACATAGAAAATCAGTAAACTGCTTCGTTGGCCAAATAGTCGCAAGTGCGACTGCCGGGCAAGAGGTCTCGTGTTCGATTCCCGGCTAGGGCAAAGTATTACTGCGTTTTACAAAAATCTCAGTAGTAGCTCGGAGTCTGGAATTGTGCCCGGTATATGGCAATAGGCTCACCCCCTATTATATGGGAATAGTAACATAAATAGTGAAAAGTGGGTGTTATATTGTACAGTGGCATAATGTGCATCTCTGCCTACCCCTTTGGGGATAAAAGGCATGATGTTATATTAGTATTTGTAGTGCTTACCCTGTTTGTGTGCAGTTGTGAAGTTTCGCGGTGTCCTACCTGTACCTGTACCTATTACTGCCTCGTTGACCGAGTGGTCGCAAGTGCGATTGCCGGGCAAGGGGTCTCGGGTTCGATTCCCGGGCGAAGTGTTACATGTTTTTAAAAAAATCTCAGTAGTAGCACGGAATCTACTAGTACTAGAGAGAGAATTGTGCCCGGTATATGGCAATAGACTCACCCCCTATTACATGGGACTCATAACATAAATAGTGAAAAGTGGATGTTACATTGTTGATTGTACAGTGGCATTAAGTGCTGTAATGTGCAACTCTGCCAGCTACCATCTGCTACCATCAAACTATGCTGCCAGCAACCACACAAAAGCCGCATATGCCGCAGGTTAAGGATGCATGATTGTGCCGGCGGGCATGAGTAGATGCACCACTAAACCTTGATTTGTTTTATCTAAGTATTGTTTTCTTTTACGACAAAATAAAAAATACGTGCCTAATATTTTTTTCATTACCTAACTGACGGACTAATTACATTTTTAATTTTCATACCCTGTCATCCTCTATTCTCAGTTATAGCAAGGTATATACCTCGTGGGCAGAGTGGTCGCAAGTGCGACTGCCGGGAAAGGGGTCTCGGGTTCGATGCCCGGGTCGGGCAAAGTATTATTGGGTTTTAAAAAAAATCTCAGTAGTAGCACGGAGTCTGGAATTGTGCCTGGTATATGGCAATAGGCTCACCCCCTATGACATGGGACTCATAACATAAATAGTGAAAAGTGGGTGTTACATTGTACAGTGGAATAATGTGCACCTCTGCCTACCCCTACGGGGATAAAAGGCGTGATGTTATGTTATGTTATATGGCAATAGACTCACCTCCTATTACATGGGACTCATAACATAAATGTAGATGTTACATTGTAATGTATTGTGCATATTTGCTAGGTCTAGGTCTGATGTAGGTACCTAGGGTCGGGATGGGTAAATAAAAATGCATGTACGAATTTGTGTATTTGTTTTGAGTAAGTGAAAATATAATAATAACAGTATTTTTATTACCTATTTAGTAATCATTTTAGCCATGATAGTTAGGCGACTAATTGTACACTTTAATTTACTCTAAGTGGAGTTACAGCCGAAATAATAATATAATAATTAATTGGTCTTAATCCAACAATTTTGAATTCAAGTCTGTATACTTTCCGAAAGATATAGAATGTTTAACTATAAAAAAATGTCAAAATTGTATAGAGATAAATAAAATTGGATTGTCTGTTTGTAAAATAAAAATAACCGCTTTTACTACATGCATAGTTATGAATATACATGCGATACACATGTCGCAGTAAGATAGATGTAGCCGTAATATAGGGATATAATCATATACCGGGACATAGTTATACGAAAGCAATTCATTACTATCAACCATACCAAAACAACTGTTTTTATAATTTTTGTCTGTCTGTCTGTTTGTATTAGCTAATCTCTGGGATGGCTGTACGGATTTTGCAAGAATTTTGTTGGTAAGTAGCTGATGTACTAAGCAGTAAGGTAACATAGGCTACTTTTATTTTAGATAGTTGAAACAAAAATAAGTTATGTTCTAAAATTCATATTCTACTCGACCGAAGTCGCGGGCAAGAGCTAGTCTCATGTAAGTTAATTTACTTTAATTGTAATAAGTGTTAATTAAAAAATGTGTCAAACGTCGTTGGGGTACTGTGGTAGCAATTTTTGATTGCAGTTGTAGTAACATGTCGTCGTGTCGATGTACACTTTAGCTAGAAGATCGCCGGTGTAGAAGAATGCTTCTCTTTCGAATATGTTCAGCGCTGTCAGGTCGCGAGTTAAAAATTTCTCAGTTGGCTTGTCTGTAAATAAAAGTGGTGTTTAGTTGTTGTATATGAGATATTTTATGTCTAATATATGATGTGAATGCTTTTAAAATCAGTCTGGAGGTGTGACCATGTAAAATGTCGCTGACTCAATGTCGATTTCAACATGTACCTAGTTGGAAAAGGCGTTTTGTAATGTTTAAGTGATATTTCGTTATACATTCTTCAATTAAAAGTACCCTTAACTGACGAGCATGCATGAAAAGATTGATGACTGTTGATGAAGCGAAAGAGGTATGTAGGAATCGTAGTATTGGCGTTCCATAGTCTCTGCCTACCCCCATGGGAGACAGGCGTGAAGTTATGTATGTATGTATGTACATTCTTAAATTCAAGATACTTGCCCGTTTACATCTACCTCTCTGAAATAAGGCTCCCCAAAACTAAGATAGGTGATATTTAAAAACATTTTGGTTTTACACCTTAAGTCCTTAGTTGATTTCCTCACGTTAAGTAATTCTTAGTTAAGAGATGGTTTAGGGGTAGTTGGTGATAATGGCCATTAGGGTTATTGTGTGGGTATTTTCGGTGACTTGTTGCGTCGAGATTTTGTTAAATCCCTCTTAAGAGGCCGCTCTGTTCAGCTTGGACTTATTCCTGATGATGTTGATGTCATGAAGGCATACCTTTAGGGTCGATGTGCATGATGGGCAGTGTGACGACGTCGGTGTACACGTGGGAGGTACACAGGTTCATGTTGGTTCTCGGAGACAAGGTCCACGTGAAGCGGAGCATAGCTGCGAATAGATTGAGAGGTTTTATTGACCACATTACATTGTTTTTATCTTTTTTTTATTGCCCCGCACTAGAATTTAATCCTGATTGTGGGTGCGCTTACAAACATACAAGTTCAGATACACATGACACCCAGACCCGAAACGACAATTTGTGGATCACACAAAGAGTCGCTCCGTGCGATCTACCGAAACCGCTAAACCACCGCATCAGACCGTACAATCAGTTTTTTACTATGGTCTTCAACCGTTCCAATTAATCTGATCGAACCATTTGTTGGCGATTTCTATGATTTAAAACTTAACCCTCTGCAACTGACGTGGTTAAATTGTTACATTTCAACTGAGGTGTATACCTCTAGTATACCAGACACCATTTCAACAGCAAATATTTTTGTAGAATTACAGTATAGCGAGCACTATACAGTAAGGTACTCGCAGCAGTGATGCTCGTATTTGAAAAATGACGGTATAACACGTGATTTTGTATTTCGCGGTGTCTGTGGGACTACACGTCAGCCGCAGACGGTTAAGACGAAGCAGGTCGACAATCGGATACTTTGTTAGTCCGTTGTAGCTTTATGGTAGGTAGTGCGGGTAGCACGACCTCTCCCACGCCAGCGTGTGGTTTAATTACAATTGCTTTTTGATGTAATAAAAAAAGCGTCACATCTTGCTATGCTTCATCAACATCAGCAGCCTATAACTATAACTGCTCATTGCTGAGCAAAGGCCTCTTCTCACACGGAGAAGGTTTGAGCATTAATCACCACGCTTTCTCAATGCAGGTTGGCAATTTCATGTTTATAATTAGAAATTGCAAGCCTTAGGAAATTGTTTCCTCGCGATATTTTCCTTTACCGTTTGTCAGTGGTGTCTAACTAATCTTAGAAAGTACATGTAACTCGGAAAACGTCACATTGGTACTTGCCGTTGGTAGGTTTCGAACCCGCACTTTCGCACTCTCATGCATGAGAAGCAGGCGCCTTAAACCTCGGGCCACCACGACCTACTTACTATCCTATGCTTCAGAAACCTAACACAGAATGTTATTCTTCTCTCAGTTCCCTTTGAACATAATCCCACTCACGGTAAGTAGCATGTATGTGGTAGTTGTAGTAGGTGTCTTCCTGGAAGGTACGATGCTGTATCAGCACTCGGTCAGACTCCAGCTCCAGGTCCCTGCAAGTCATGCCCAGTACCGCTCTGTCCGTATCTGTGTTGAAGCTGAAATTATATTGCAAGATTTAGAGTCGATTTAAAAGCTTTCTTATAAGTCGCTTGTTAATTAACTTTGTCTCAAGGTAAATTCATTATTCTTGTCTGTAATGTTGTAGGATTGTCTCACTGCGGGGCAAACGCTCCTACTTATCACGCACTTTCTATGACCAAGTTTCTCCTCAAAAATTGCCTACTAATTTAATTGTAACCCTAAGTTATCTTTATTACATTACTTTGCCCCCCCCCCCCTCTCCTTGACTCTCAATATAGTTAAACCTTCACAGGATTTTTATAGCACCGGAAAACCTTAGTGATAGTTTTTTATTTCGATCGTTATTTTTAGCTCAGTTGAACTCAAGGTTCAGTACTTACAATAATCAATCAAAATAAACTTACAAAAACTCAGAAATGTAGCACTTGTCATGATTCCTGACGATGAGACCCCTGTCAATATACGAGGAGTTGAAGTATGGTGTCTCGAAGCGGAACTCGTTCACGGTGTACTTGTTGGCGATGAAACCCATCACGTTTCTGTCGCAGCCAGAGTTCGAAGCCAGCACCTCGCGGATACAGCGGTGTGTCAGGTTAGGGCATGGGCGGATTATTTTTGCTTGTACTGTGTGGGGAAGATAAGTTAAGTAGTAATTCGATTCTAAAGTTGATAAGTTGATGCGATCACAATAAATTCGTTTTTTTAAAGGCCATCGACACGTCTGTATCTCCTCTGGTGTTCATGGATGGGGTTAATAGCTCGCCGCTAGGCGATGTGTCTGTTCATTTGCCCATAAAAAACAAAAATTTGTGAACCAAACAAAGAATATTCTTTGCGAGAATTGAACCTGCAACATCTTGTGCCGTCAATCTCCTAGCTACAGCCCTGACTGTACAGTGGCTGTGTGTGTGATCTTCAATCTTATTGCATAATCAGTTAGTTCCACATTACAATTCAATAATATTAAAATATAACAAAAAATATAATCGTCCTTTACCTGCCGAAAAAGCAATAGCCAGGAACAAAATAAAAATATGCCTCGCCATTTTCTTGAGACACTACCACCAACGTACTGGAGTGGTAACTGTGGAATAATCTGGAGGACCACCATCGACACAACTTATTTATTGAATAACCAACGAGTTTGTACAATGGAATAATTACTTAGTTTACACAGCTGTAGCTGTTATAGTTTGTATTGTTGTAATCAAATTAGTGTTGGAATAATATTGTTAGTGTTGTCTGTTTGTGTGTGTCTGAGTTTTCGGTATTCTTATGGTAGTCAACTGAACAATTTTGAGGAACTAAGTCCGTATTATCGGGCTTGATATAGCTAATTTGGGGGGTGTTAGTAGTAGTAATATTTTTATATTCCAGAACTTAATCAATAATCGAGTCGTATTAGCCCGGACGTTTAGGTACGACGCCCGCGTCTCATGCATGAGGGTGCGGGTTCGAAATCTACCAGTCATGTACTAATGTGACTTTTTCTGAGTTATATGTACTTGTTTTCTAAGATTATTTAGACATCACTGACAAACGGTGCAGGAAAACTTCGTTTTTGGGTTGATAATTTCTAATTATAAGTTTGAAATCTCCAACTCGTATTAAGCAACCGTGGTGATTAATGCTCAAACCTTCTGCGTGTGAGAATAGACCTTTGGTCTATTCTCACACGCAGAAGTGGTTTGGTGGCTGTTGATGTATGATGATAATGAATGCATAATAGGTACTTACTGAATTCACTTGAACTGTGCCAGTATCTTATTTGCCTACCGTCGACTGTCGTGTTGTTCATTCTTGCTCTATGTCTATTTTGCACGGGAATCAAGGTTCTTCTGCTGATAAACAGCCTCTCACTGCCAAGTGCAGTATTGATTCGTCTAATACTAGATATACCTCCAGGCCCTTTCATTACCTGAAAATTGTACCTAATGCCTAAACTTAGGTAAGGCTATACCCTATCAGACTAGCTTTTCTTTCATGCAAAATTTCCAATTGTCCAGATACCTATTCAATATTACGACTTCAACACATCACCTCAGTATTTTTACCTAGTTGGGTACATCGTACAAACTTTGGCTACAAGTGTTTAATAAATCTGCGTCACTCCGGAATGAGACCGAATTCTTGACAAATATTGATTCAGACCACTTCGCCATTCTTTGAGTGTTTGCTTTGGTAATAAATAAATTACAATTTTCCAATAATTCGGAGCAGCTGTACGCACGTATCCGAGTTATTATTGCTTATTATTTCGATTTGAGAATTTTGTACAAAATTTCAATCAGTTGAGTAATCTACTTATTGATATTTAAATCTTTTTTTAACGAATTTCGTAATATTTATCTCCTGCTTAACAATTACAAGTGAATCATTTAAACTGTCAAACACCAAGTGGTCACCGGTGACCGCAACCTATTGTTCTATAATTGTGTCTACAAAACCGGTACTCGACGAGTTAAATATTAATGTTACAGTTATACTTCTCTTTTCGAATATAGCAACCTTTTTTAATATTTTATACTTGATAGGATGACGTACTTATTTTATTCTTGACTAGCTGTTGCCCGCGACTTCGTCCGCGTACAATGTGATTCCTGTTTTATCTCATGGGAGCAATTTTATTAATCGGGAGAAAAAGTCCTATCACCTAAGTCAGCCCATACCCTGCAAGAATACCAAATTTCATCAAAATCCGTTCAGTAGTTTCAGCTCGATTGACGGATACACATTCAAACAAAGAAACTCACGTATATAATATTAGCGTGGTACTTACGTAGATTCTGGCTTAGGTTCTTCTCGTGATCTCTATAACGAAGTCAAAGGACATGTATATTAAAACTTTCGAATTTTGGATAATTCATATTAAAAAATATCCATGTTTAATTTTTAATCTGTGTGCATTTGTTTAAATGAACGATTAATAGGTACCTATCTGCATTTTAACAATAGATTACTAATTGATTCTTTACGCAGACATACATTATGTAAAATTATATTTTTTAAAACCTTGTGCATTTCAAGAAAAAAGCGTATTAATTTTGTATAAAATCTAGACAATACTTAGTCAGACGTTATTATTATAGTATTGTGTGAATTCTTGGCTTACGTAAGTAAATGTCTGCAATTAGGGAAAATGCAGTACCTATAGGTATGCTTTAACTATCTCCCTCTAATTATGATATTGTAGTCTTTGCCTCTAATTTATGTAGAACAAGAAAAAAAAAATTATATTATACAATTTTACCTAGTCTCGTTGGCCGAGTGATCGCAAGTGCGACTGCCGGGCAAGGGGTCTCGGGTTCGATTCCCGGGTCGGGCAAAGTATTACTGGGTTTTAAAAAAAAATCTCAGTAGTAGCACGGAGTCTGGAATTGTGCCCGGTATATGGCAATAGGCTCACCCCCTATTACATGGGACTCGTAACATAAATGGTGAAGGGTGGGTGTTACATTGTACAGTAGCATAATGTGCACCTCTGCCTGCCCCTTCGGGGATAAAAGGCGTGATGTTATGTTATTTTACCTACTATTTGAATTAGATTTATTATAGACTAGCGACCCGCCTCGGCTTCGCACGGGTACAATATGTACCTATGTATTATATCTTCTTCTTCTTTTTTCTTCTTTAAAAAAACGTTGCCCCACACTAGGATTTTCTCCTGTGTCGTGTGTACGTTTACAAACATACAAGTTCACATACACATGACACCCAGACCCGGAACAAAATTTTGTGGATCACACAAAGTGTTCTTCTGTGCGGGACTCGAACCCGCGACACGTTGCACGGCAGCCGGTTGCCCAGCCACCGCACCAACCGTGCAGTCATATATAAACGTTCCTTAGGTATCAATCTATCTACTAAAAAAAAACTGCATCAAAATCCGTTGCGCAGTTTCAAAGATCTAAGCATACATAGGGACAGATAGACGGCGGATAGGGACTTAGTTTTATACTATGTAGTGATATGGTAGTATGACGTCTATTGTGTCATGCACACGTTTTTGTAGCTTAGCATAGTCATAACATTTTGTACCTAGGACATTACCAGCTTACTAACTGAGCTACTGAATTGTTAAGACTACACTTCTGCTTTTCATTCAAGAGATAATTGACTATAGTATCTCCTGAATCTCTTTATATTAGGATACACTAGTTCAAAATGAAACACGTTCAAGTATTAGTTACATGTTTATTACACCGATACGAGCCATACACGCTGCTTACAATAGCTACCGTAAATATAACATTACATTAAATTAACAAACGATACCAACGCGACTGTTTAAATAATATTAGTTACATTTGGTTTTATAGAGATTTTACTCATGTACTCAGAGACTTAGTGTAGGTATCAAAACTAATTATTATTATAAAGTATCATTAATAATTATTATTATAAAGAGTTTTACAAAATATTGTTCGTTGTTTTAAACGCTCAACGTGATAACAGCCAAGTGATTTAGTATGTAGGTAATAAATAAAGATAGATTCAGTATAGAGACAGTAGCCATTTTTATACTAAATTGTACGTTTTGTAACGAAGCCATGTGTTTAGTAACTCAGTCGGCTCTAGACAACCAATGGCTACTGTCTCTGTACTGAACCAATCTTTGTTTTCTTACCTGTATACTAAATAATTTGAGTGATCTTACATAATTATTTTAATTTTGTGAATATCTGATTTCTTAAAACTGAAATCAGATTCGTTTTACATGTATCAATTTCAATTTTATATATTCCTAAAATGTCGGATTTCTTGTCAAAATTCAACATGTAGGAAATATTTGAAAAATGTATATTTTCTGAAACTTTGAGCGTTTAAAACGACGTCTTATAGTAAGAGTATAGATTTATAGAATTATTAAAATTAATAAGACACGATTTAGCCTGACACGAACATTCGCTCGTGGTACTACGCACGCATTATTAATAGTAAATATAATAATATAACATATGGCTTTCTACGTCACTTATATAATAAATGTGGTAATTATATTAGACAAAACTTCCAAAAGTTTGTGTTAAAACGTTGAACCGGCATTATATATGACACTTAGTATAAAATATACATTATATATAATAACTCTAAATATTTATAAGTTATAATTACTATAATTATATATAACTACTAGAATTGGTGTTAAGTTACCTTCAGTGGACGAATCGCTTCCGCGGGCATCTATACTACGAGTACACAGTATACAATATACACGAGGCGAGCATCGAACCCAGACACTAATATATTACGCCTGAGTTCTATATAGAAAAAGCTGCGAATTACATAAGGCACGTGTATGACAAAATTAATATTTATTTTCCAACTGACAATCCATTTTAGCCTGCTCCTTGCTAGCTACATAAATTTGTTATAATAGGGTATTTTAATGTCCGTCTGGTAGATTATTTTAAAACATTACACACGTATTTTTTATTTCCTTACAGAACAAATACTTTCGGCGTTATATTGATTTGAAAAATCGCGTGACGTCACTTCTAGGTACGTTTTATACTTAGAAATGACGTCGCTACTCCTGAACAAGGAATCGTTTTATCAATGTATTGTTTTCTTATACGACAAAATAAAAAAATATGTGTTTTATATTTTTTCATTACCTAACTGACGGACTAGATCTTTTATTATCATACCCATTATCATTACTATTATACGTATATATAATATATAATCTTATAATATATGTAAATAATTTCACGAGACTTCTCCTGTCGACACCACGACTACTCTAAAAACAAAAACAATAAAAATATAATATATTGTTTGTTCGTTTAAATACTTTCTGTTTAAATGCGTTATTGTTAAGCTGCGTTCTTAGTACATTAGTAGGTATACGAATAAAATCTATATTAAATATAATTTTTAGTATATTTTCAAAATAATTGCACCATACGATCACTGTTTTTAAGACATTCTGTTGAGTTACTTATAAAGACTTCTCAGCTGTCATTTAGAAGTTATAAGTCGTTTTATAAGTTTATATTATTATAATTCTTTTTATAAGTTCATATAAGTAACAGAATGCCGTATATAATCCAGTTAGTTTAGTAAAATTTCAATAAAAACATGTATATTAACAATAATAAATAGGTAATTTGTAAAATAAAATATTTTCTGTAAATGGCACATTCATTTTATCATTGTATTGGGCTGCATTAGTTGCTTTCTAAGATTTTGAACCTAAATATTTTGCAATTAAGTCTAAAATCTATTACCAAAATTGGGTAAGATTAATGAACTAATTAATGTCTGTATTTTGCATAATAAATCTTCATAGCTGCATATTTAAACGGTGTTATTTAGCTTGCCGCATTTGTTTCTTTGTTTTTTATAGTTATATATGGTATGCAGCCCTCGTTATAAAATGTATAAGGTGAAGGCACGTAATATATAAATAAAAATATAATACTTATAATAATGGCACTCTCGGTCGTAAGAAGGCATCGAATATAAGGACCCCGTGGGGTTAGCACTTTGTGAGGCGTGGGCATGTTGTCCACTAGTGAGACTGGATTTAGTCATGTTAAAGATGACTTTAATAGTGGATTTTTTGTTTGAATCACTGATTTCTTGTTTAACAGTTTATTTTTAATTTTTCTGTAATATTTAGAAACTTGAAAAGTGTTCTATATATTGTAACTTTGTAGAAAGAATGGTGATATAAAATGTTTTTTATAAAATGAGTTTACTTTTTAAATTAGTATTTTTCGAGACATTTCATTTAAGTATAAAATTTCAATATATATTATTTTTTGTAATTTAACTAACAGTTTTTTGTGTAAAATACAAAATTTCATATCTAAATGTATACTTTTCTAAATCTTTCGAGTAGTTTCGACCTAAAAACGAAGTCATCTAGTTTTTTGTAATATCTTTAACATAACTAAACCCAGTCATAAATAACCAACAATAAATAACAATTAATAATTGAATTTGTCATCTCTAAGGCTGGCTAAGACACACTCAGTAAGTATTATATTATAATTAGCACCTTAACTTTAATATAACTCCTATTACTACGTATTATAGTTCATTTTTCGTTAGTATTTATAGCTCTTTTAATTTAATAAATATTTTCAGTGTTAGATCAAAAACAACATTTTTAATATACATTTTTGTTATTTTTAAAACTTTTTTTACAAATTTCTTTTTGACAGATATTTTGACTTTTGATTTTTTTACTGTTGATGAGATTCGAACGGACGGACTTTCGATCGCCCGCCAACATATCCTTTCGAGACCTGTGTTACCCTGTTCATAATCAAAAAACAAAAAGAGCAAAAATATCTGTCAAAGTATTTCAGAGAATTTATATAAAACGTCAATTTACAAAACACTAATATTAATAATTAATTAATAAATATTTTTTCAAAGTACTTTCAAAAACGTGCATAGTCCTTTTATAATTCAACACTTAAGCTACGACATACGGTAAAAACCTCGAACACTAACAAAATTCCAAAGCTTTTTGCCGCGGTAAAACATTTTTTACCGCGGTAAAAAACGGTAAAGTAAAAAAAATCACATGAGAGTTTACACTACATTATTTTTCGAGGTTTTTTTCTGGCAGTAAGGAAGCATTTCACATAAAATTTAGACAGACCTCAAAAATTGCCGAATTTCTTTGTTATGGTTGACGAAGATTCTGATTTGTGTGAGCTGGTCATCACAGACTTTCTCTCAATAGTTTCCGAAGTAATTGTTTGCTTAGAAAACTTCTTGTCCAGGGAATCGATCTCCTTCACTAAATCCGAAGGCTTTTTGACTTTAGTAACATTAGTTGTAGCTTGATAATCTGAAGATTGGAATTCTGAGGGTCTCATGAAAGACCGGCTGGTGTCCGAACTCATTTTAGACTCTAAGGTGTTGAAACGAGAGTCCAAAGTGCTGTATTTAGAGTCATTATCGAATGATTTGGATAGTTCATCGATGCCATCAAGTCTGATAGGTTCATATTTCGTACTAGTTGTAGTTAGGTTCACGGGAGAAGAACTATAGATTTTAGTTGTAGTTATTTTCTGTGTACCATTAGGTATTTCTTTGACCTCTGTGGTAGTTTCTTCCATATAGTTCGGACCTCCGTAACTAGCGCTTTCTTTGTATGGAGAAGCGATCCTGTCATAGTCTGGAGTAGCAGCCTTCACTAACTCGGTAGACCGATCGAATTTGGGCGTGGACGCGAAAGGAGATTTGACTTCTTCGCGAAATTCTGTCTTACTGTATTCAGTTTTGGGGTAAGATTGGTAAGATTCGCTGTGAACTTTGAATTCAGAGTGTTTCATACCTCCAGGGATGGCTTCCGAAGACTTCTGGTGCTCGGAGAACGTTTGTCCGACTCCATCAAAAGGTTTTTTCAAGGTTGAGTAGATGGGTTCCTTGTCATCAAATTTGAGTTCCCTGGCGTTGAATTTAGGGCTAAGTGGGGTTTTAGGAGGTTCATAGCCGTATTTATGTTCTTTGTAGTCGTAAAGTGTTTCCTGGCGTTCTGTTGTGGTCTCGTGTAGAGGGCGCGGAGTGTCGTACAGGCGGGTCTCGTAGCTGCAAAGTTATATTAGTCGGTTAGAGGGAGATTAGGAGTTTTAAGTCAGCTTTGTGGTATTTATGGGCGAGATTAGGAATTAAAATTAACTTTGGAACATTTTTGATACAAGAGTAAGATTTTCAAAGTATTTTCTTTGCCCATAAACAGCACAGTAGCTAAATAATAATTAATGATCCCCAAATTAGACCCCATCCTATGTTTAACCCTATAACGTATACTTTGAACATAGATATTAGATATTGAATCCAAGATGGCTGGAGTGATAGTTTTAGCCCAATAGTTAGGAAACCAACACCATGCCATGCCAGAAGGTAAACAAGAAGAATTAGTAGTCACAAGTATCATTAGAACAAATTCATTAGTAATCTTCTGTCTTGGCAATCGATTTGATAATTCTCTTTTATATTAGTATAACATTGAGTTTAGTTAGACACCGATATTATGTTAACTCCACAATTACAATTAAAAGGACATTTTTACATTCGCTCATTCACACTTAATCAGCATCCAATTGCTAAACATAGGTCTCTCCTGTAGCTTAATACTCTGAATATAAAAAAACAGCTTCCTATTAATTTAGGAACCATTCACTCTATACTTATAATAACTATCGTGATACATACTAAATTAACTAAAAATGATGGGTTGATCACGTTAATATACTGAGAAAATGGGTTTTTAAGAGGTCGGCAAGGCACATGTAATGCCCCAAGTGTTGCAGGCGTACATAGGCCACGGTAACGACTTACCATCAGGTGGGCCGTGTGCTGTTTCTCCACCGTCGTGATATTAAAAAAGAAAAGTTCTACTAGTTTGGACTCACAGAGGAACTCATGAGGTTTTCTCAGTATATGTAAGTGATAAAATGTTATTTTTAGTTAACCACTCATTCATTCATCATTCATTATCATTCGTTCATTCCCGTTCCCCTGTCAGTGATGGTGTTTGGTGCTAAATTAGCACAATGTGCCTCCCATACCTATCCCATGGGGTTGCCAGGTTTGTAATGGAATTGAAGTATATGTTCTGAATTAATGACATGAGAGTACCCCTTTTATTTTGGTTAAAATTACTTTGTTTCTTTGTGACTTAGAAGATATGTGCTGCTGAACAAAGATCTCTTCTAGAGTTCTAGGTTTGCCATTATCCCCATACTTGACAATATTCAGTTAAATTACCAAAAGTTTCTCCAACAAATGGCAAGGTTTAATAAATCAACCGAAAATATTTACTGCTGAACGAAGACATCCTCTAAAGAGGAGGATAATCTCCATGTATTCCAGTCAGATTATCCAAAATTTCTCCAAAATATGGCCATTTTTACACATACCCTGATATTATTGACCCCAAAAATTTTAGTATTTACAACACAATAATGAATCCTGGCTCCCCGGTGCATAAATAAATGAAGTTGACAAACCAAAGTCACTTGGTCGGCTCGTCGCACCTAAGTAGCGAAGCCCTGCGCGGCGGCGGAGGAGGAGCCCTCTCCCTCTTGTAGGGGACACGTTCCTCTCCCACTAGGTGTGCCGTCCTCACTTCAGGGAGGGTTAGGGACCTTACTGTGACCTCCTCTATGCTTGTCCTTTGTAAAGCACCCCATGCAAGTTAGTTAGAAAGTTTTATATTAGTTTTGTTGTTATACGGGCTTGTGATGGCAGTTTGCAGTTCTTTAGCTTCGATTTCTAATAAAAACTAGAAAGTGTCTTCACTGAAAGATAGCCCAATTGACACTTTAGGCGCTTTAGTTTAGTTTACTTATTTAAATTTCGACTTTAAAGTTTCTTTGTATAAGGTTAAATTTACAATTATGCAAAGCTTTGCTTGTAATATACATTTTTTCCAGTTTTCACTTCACATTTGTCGATCAATCTAGTTTTTATTAAAGAACGAAGGTATATTCAATAAAATTATAAAAAGAATTACTGTGCCATCATTAATCCCATGTCAGCGCATAGTCAGAGCATGCCTAGTTAGTCGTAGTGTATATATACAAGCTGTACACATTTATTATATTATAGTTATATAGTTATAGACAGAACGACGGACGGACCGCTTGGGGATATGTTAGGAGCGTTGGGGCAAGCGATATATTTCTGTATATCTTTGGAATAAACTTGTGGAATATAAGAGATATGTGTGTACGGTATAAAGGTATTTTTGTAGGTTTAATGTCTCATATATAATAAGTAGGTATGGAAAACACGTCAAATTCTTTCAGTTCGACTTATGTCTAAATACTCAAACGCTACTGAATTTTAAGTAGCGCTTAACTATAGTTCTGTCAGTACAAATTCTTTGTAAAATGACAGAGACAGCACGATATTTAAGTACAACTTAAAATTCAGTAGCTTTTCAGTATTCAGGCGTATGTATAATTTAATCAAATGTTTTAAAACAGAACTTAAGCAAAATTTTGTATGTATTGTATACTAAACTCCACACTCCTATAACGATAATATTAATAAATATTCAGTTTTAAAATACTGAATTTACTATAAAAACAGAAAATCTCATGTTAAATGTCCGGCTGAATCAATTATATTCTGCGAAGTAAAAAACTATGTATATCTAAAAATGTACATGTATCTGTCTGTATGGTATGGTATATAAAAAGCGAAATATACATAGGGAGTGGGGGTAAAACGTTCCTCGCATATTGCAAAGCGGTTGTCAAGCATAAACGGTTGCTCACAAAAACGTAATATGTACATAATATATGTATGTATGTATTTACATAATGTGTAGTTGATGATGTCGTGTTGTTTGGCAGGATGTGGACAAAGATGTTTTATTATCATCGAGTTTAAGTAAAATTAATTGTTTCTTCAAAACGATTCATGATCGGAATTAAAACTAGTCTAAAGTGATAGACTATTTTGTTACTTTACAAAAAATGTATCCTTACAAATATTATAAATCGGAAAGTGAGTTTGTTTGTTTGTTCCGCTTTCACGCCGTAACTACTAAACCGATTGCTTTGAATTTTTGCAGACGTAAAGTTAGAAGTCTGGAATAAATAATAGGGAACTTTTTATCCCGGGAAAATTTTATATTCCCGAGGGAAAACAAAAGTATTGGTATAGATGGCGCTGTGTGTAATATGTCACATAGGCTACTTTTTATCCTTTTGTAACGCGAGCGAAGCCGCGGATAAAAGCTAGTAATATATATATTGTACTCGCCATTGTAAACTTAGTAACAGGTTTGTCGACAAATTGATATTGTTTTAAATAGTCGATCATAAGTTCAAAAGTACTTATATATTATATTTTTTGTTACAAATTACAATACAATTGATATTTTAAATATAATTATATTGAACGGGATGATACATTACGAATGTTAAAACAAGTTTGTTTGTTTCTTTGCCTGTTTGTACCCATCTCTTTAGGCGCAAACTATATCCATGAAAACTAACTAAAAGCTTTCTTTAATCACAACACCTATTCTTCTATCTCTTTATCCACATCAACCGCCCACAAACAACAAGAGACAATCAACTACAGTATATATGAAATTTTGTCCGACTTACTGTTCGTTCATCGTTCTGTCATTGGAAGAGACTCTGGAAACAAATGCACATGAGACAGACTAGGCGTAGACATAGATCTAGCTTGTTTAGACATAAGCTGTATTGGCTAGGTCTAGTATAGATATAGCTAGGTTCATTTTGGTCAGATTTGGTGTTGGCTGAGTGGAGGAGATAAGTCATAATTTCTAAGTAAATTTTGTGTTATAATAATATTTCAGTTGTAGTTCAAAAGAGTATAGAGACTAATATCGTACCCCCGGTGCTATACCGTCACTTATGTATTGCGGGGGCCCGCGTGCAACTGAACAATGAAACGTTGTTTTACCTAGTGCCGTCCAGATTAGCGCCAAAACTGTAACGACAGTAATGCCCTCACAATGTCAGTTTGCTTACTACACAAATGACAATAACGCACCAAGTAAAGAGGTGAATTTGGAGTATTCTTTCATAATCAGTTAAGTTTTGACAAAAATTGCATAAGTGACGATATTGCACCGTAGGTGCGATATTACAATAATCTTTATTGTATTATATCTTATGTTAAGTGAGGTACCGAAAAATAATAATATTCTCACCCAGACAACACTAAAACTAACCAAACATTTCAAAAAGAAACCGACTGATTCAGTCATAACATAATATTCAGTCGGTGAGCTGAGTACATAGTGTTCAGTACATAACATCAAGCTACACAACGCCAGTATATACTGAAACATCAACTGTACGGAAAGGTCACATGAAGCGAGACCATATTATACTGGATTTGTATAGCTCGATGCAGCTGTGATTACGTATTGGTAGAGAAGCGTGAACATGCTTGAAGTATAGAATATTGGCTGTGTATGACAGGTGAACACATTGCATTGGTGTTGAAGTTGGATGATAGTCTTTATTGCTGTGAGAATAAGGTTGTTTTGTATATGGAGTATTTTTTATACATGAATCTTAGAAGGCATACACCGTGAATGGAGTGCCGAAGTAAAATGGTTCTGTTTTTAAAGAAATAAAATGTTTAAAACAAACAATAACTGGTGAACCATTGCAAAAAGCAAACTTCGAAAGCGCATACGAACTTATAGTATGTACATTATCAAAACTCATTTTAAGATTTTATTTTAGTGATGAGAATGTCTTCGTAGAAACATTTAGAATTCTACTTTAGATACACTTAAACACGAGTAAGTAATTCTTTTCAGAATAATTTTAGTTTTTTTTTTATAGAAATACTTCAAAAGACTACTATTAAATTAGAATCGTACACAAAACTAATCTTATATTATGTTTGTATGCAATGCATTTCCCTGTTCACAATATTATTTCTAAATATATTATGTTACAGTGATATAGTGTAGTTGTACATGTTATGTATAATATAAGCTAGTCTTCTATATATAACTACTAAATATCTTGTAGAATACTAAATAAGACAAATACTACAAATTATATAATGTGTGTCTACTAATTGTTTTGCAAATAACTGACATATATATTATAAGCTATATTAAGATTTTCTTTAGTTAGGTAGTTTAAAATATTTGCTCTAAACAAGAATCAAATTCAGTCAAATTGGCAAAATAATTAGTAAAACACTTCAATAAATTTATTTAAAAATACGTAATGTATGCAAACCTTGTATGCTTCCTGAGTATGTTTGTATTGTGGCGGTAATCTTATAAACTATTTATATATTTATATAAAGTCTTATATATATGTTATATATATATATATAAAATAGGCACGTATCATAAGTGTGAAGGCACTTGTATGTAAGTTCAGTAAAATATATATAGTTTTATATTTATCTGCTTAAATCCAATGGCAGCGTGAAAAGCAAGAAGAATACGAAATTAGTATGTGAGAAAGAATTAGAAGGAATGTACGAGACGGGATTCGAACCCATGACTTTAGACAGGGAGTAATAGTGTCTTGTTGAATTTTGGATTTTTTTTACAGAAGAAAATAGTATATTTTGGAAAATAATCAAGTTATTGTTATTATTAGTGGTATTTTACAAAGTAGTACATTTTTGTTGGTGAAACATTACTTATTTTGTATGTGAAAAAGAGAAGTGTATAATTAATAGATAAAAAAATAGTGCAATTATTTTATACAAAGATCTCCTGTAATTTTAAATTAAAATGTTCTGATATAATATAACAAAAATTACATTACATAAACTCATGAGTTACATTATATACTAAACATTGTGTTATTATTGCGAAATAATAACACTTGCCTGACCCGGGTATCGAACCCGAGACCGTAGAAGACAGACTTGCGACTAATAGAACAAAACGATAAAAAATCTCATGATATATCTTGCTTTGTTGAAATAAAACATGAAACTAATATAAAAGATTGATCTTCATCTGAAGATTTGATTATGAACTTCTTTCGTTACAAAAGCTACCGAAAAACTAAAAGTTTCACCAACAAAACCTACCAAAAACTACCAATTGACACAAAAAACTTACCGAGTAGTAAATCCTTCATAATTTTGCTTAGGTTCTTCCGCTGGCCTGAAGCTAGAGAATGACGGACTCTGCACAGTATATTGTTTCTCCTGGCTGAAGCTCTGGCTGTATTGGTCAGGTCGAGTCGGTACTTTTTCTTGGCTGAAGCTCTGATTGTACTGGTCAGGTCGGGCCGGTACTGTAGGACTCTTCGGAGTGGAGTAGTAACCAGGGGAGACTGGACTCTTGGCCGGAGTGCCGTGGATGGAGTGGTTCAGTTGCGATATATGTGAGCTAATGTTTGTCGTGTTGTGTGTCGTGTGCGTTGTGTTTGTGTGTGTGTGGGGGGAGTATGTACTGTTGGGGCTATATGTCGTGTTCGCGAAACTGCTATTTGGAGTTTTGAATCTGGAAAGGAAGTAGACCAAGTTTTACTCGTTATACATATTATTATTATGGAATTGTGGAAGGTAAAAATGCATTAGGACATTGAGTTTGGTTTGTTACAATTTGTTTAAAATTTGCTTTTTAAGGTGGGAAAGTCATACAATGACTTCTCTCGCCCTGGGTAAGGCGAAAGGGAGTGTCAGACTCATACTGACTAAAAACCACCCCGTTCGTACTCCTGCTCTTCAAGCCAGTGCCCCGGCAACCGGTTAAGTCTTCCGCGGCTCCGTATCGGCATCAGCCTTACTGGTCCCCATCTGTAGATCCAGTTCGCTGTGTAACCTGATGATGATGTAATGATGCTGGTAACTGACCTGTGTGGAGCAGTGTCGCTAGTGTACCCCAGCTGTACGTCTGTGTCGGTGTCCTCTCCAGAGGTCTCTCCAGCTCGGAGCTTGTACTTGGCCTGTCTGATGGCAGTCAGACGACCTCGGGCTTCTTCAAGTTCTTTTTCTATGCGGAGGACTTCGGATCTGAAGGAGGAATATATTTTGATGAAGTTATACTAACTGGGCTTGAAGTATCGATGATAATAACGATAAAAATCGATTAATTTATATTTATATATTATATATTTGGACGTGCTCTTAATGCGAAATCATTGAGCCGATGCACTGTCGTAGAAAGATCTTTAAACAAAAATAAACCTCGTAGGAAAGAAATGGAGTAATGAAGAAAAAATACATTGTCGATTTGAAATTGCGAGCTATTTCCTCGACTTGTTCGATACAATTTGTGCAAAGTCGCCAATGTATTAGAAATCTATAAGTTTAAAGTAGGTTAATAACGATTTAAAGTGCATAAAGTTTAAAAATAGCTTTGTATAAGAAGTAAAATATTGACATGCAGTAACAGTTCACGGAATGAACGTGGCGTGTGGAATTAGGTACAAGAACATACCGCTTTGCAACACTGGATTCCAATAGAAGAAGAAATATTTGATTATGTAAAATTACTGTAGTAGAATATTTTACAGAGAATGTACATTTTTATTATTATATCGAACTAGTTACATAAAGTAACTTTATATTATTGACGAGCAAAGTTTTTAAGTGTGGGATACTTATGCTTCGGCTTGAATGAGTCGGCTCGACCGGAGTGATACCACGACCGAGCAGAAAACCGACGTGAAACAACGCTTGCGTTGTGTAACAGAGGCCTAGTTTTCCGTCCCGCTTGCCCAATCCCTGAATCCTCAACAATCCTCGAAGTCCTAAACCTCAAATTTTTTATTATTTTATTGGTTAGTACTCGTAGTAGTAGTAGTAGGAGATATTTGTTCGGTAAAGGATTAATGCGGAACAATGGTATCATTACAATATCGGTTACAAATTTCTGATTTCCTGTTATCCCTCCACGTTGAATCTTTTGTCTGATTATCATGACTACTACAGTTAATATCGCAGGTTATTATAATCACCTGGCATCAATCTCCTGCGCGATGCCCCCGACCATGCGCCTGTTCAGTACAAGACTCCTCTCATCCTCCGTATGTATGGCGTCCCTGGCGGCGCGGACCAGGTTGTCCGTCGACCTGATCACTTCGGCGCCGGCCGCTTGGAGGCGACGGGTGGACTCGGATGAGGGGTCGGCCTTCACCTGGAGACGTAAGAAATTGTGTTAAGTTTCGTGAAAATAATAAATAGATTGAATGTAAGATGTTGTTCAATAACGTTTAAGTGTGGGAGAGCCATGCTTCGGCACTAATGGGTCGTCTCGACCTGCATTATTTAACGTCCTGTGAATGAGGATACCGGAGGCCCAATTACTACCCTTCCCAGTCGCTCCAATCCCCGAATCCCCCACAATCCTCAAATTCCCAATTCCCAAAAGGCCAGTAACACACTTGTGACACCTCTGGTGTTCCAGGTGTTCATGAGCGGCGCCGATTGCTTACAATCAGGTAATCTCTCTGCTCATTTACGAGCTCATTCCGAAATACTCAACCGTACCTTAATACGTACGTAGTCGTACTAAGCCTTCTGCATACACTGGAGTTATCGCATCCGTGCTTTTGTCTCTTACCTTACAAGCCACCAGCAGCTGAGCAGTAGACGAGGCGACCTGCCTGGCACTTGAAATAAGTCTCTCCTCAGACCCGGCTCCCTGCACCAGCGCGTTGGCAGCTTCCACCAAGGAATGCGCTGCGGCAGCCACTAGCCTGGCTGCACTGATCAGACCTTCAGACCACTGGCCGTCGTCTGATGATGAGGTGGGGCGACGAGCTACCTTGCCCTGGGAAGAAAAGTATTTTTTAGTCAATTCTATTATAGAATATTAATCGTGAAGAGATCGATTTGGAATCTATGTATAAGTATTTTGAGTATTTTTACGAAAGGTCACGTAGTTAACTAGTTTTATTCAACATAACATCACGCCTTTTATCCCAAAGGGGTAGGCAGAAGTGCACATTAAGGCACTTAACGCCACTGTACAATGCAACACCCACTTTTCACTACTTATGTTAAGAGTCCCAAGACCCCTTGCCCGGCAGTCGCGACGCCGATTGTTTACAATCAGGTGATCCGTCTGCTCGTTTACCGGCTTATGCCATAACAAAAGTCACCTGGTCAGATATACTTACATAATTTTAAACGTAGTTTAACTTTCAAAGAGTTTTAACGAGTATATCTTCTTACCTGGTCAATAAGTTCCCTCTGCGCGGCTGAAGCAGCGCGTACTAGCGCGGATGTAGCAGTGATGATGGACTTGGCCGCCTCGAGGATCATCTCGTCGAAGTTCAGGCTCTCGTCCGCCTCCTGGGACAAGGGGGCGCCACCGTCAGTGTTATAGTAAGTCGGTTGTATGATTGTTAGTACATTGTTTAAGATATCTGTGGTGTTAATATTATTTTTTATGGATACATACAGGAATTATTTAGAAAGGCCAAAAATAACTGACCATAATAACATTTCTTATTGATGCATTTATAAGTTAAAGTTCACAAACATGTGTTGTAAACTGTATTGATATCTATTATTAAATAGAAAAATAAATTCTTATTATTTTCGACTTACTGAAGTAACTGTTTGACGAGGAACTCGACTAGTTCCAAGCCATGCTAGAGGCTCATATTCATGAGCAGCAATCTGCGACCCGCAACGCGGCGACTGTCTTTAGCAAGGCTCGAAACTAGTCGAGTACCTCGTCAAACATTTAGGTGAGTAAGCCGAAAACATAATAATTTTAAAATAAATCCTGTACAATAGGTATTTTACAAATGGTTAGCGACATAATGCATGTGATGGTATATAATACAAGTACATACATATAAAGTAATTAGACAGAATATTAAGAGACAAATTATAGTACAATAAAGAAGAGAAGAATGAAAACACAAACAGAATAGTAGATAGGAGAATAATTCTGTTATTAGCTAAAATGTAATTTCAATTACTTTACTTTTGAGTCAAACATATGAATAAATAATCATACTCTCATCCATTGATTTGACAATTTACTTACTTTTGGATTTTCTCTCGCTAAATTTAAGGAAATAAGTATGCTATATGACCCAGAAATATGATGACGTCATAAGTAGCGATCCAATACAAAATTAATAGAAAAGTATCGTTTTGACATTTTAATAAAAGTATTGAATTTACCGTATTGGCCGGCTTCAGAAGTGGGGTGAAGTCGAATAAAAGAATTATTAAATAATGACACCATAACATTTGAGACACATTTTTAGCTAATAACATAAGAGAGAAGACAAAATAACAGCATAAATACAGGTTTTCAAATCATAATTCTTCTTTCATCTTCTGCCACGTCGTTCAGTAGTAAGTACCGGCATCGATGTGTAATATGTTTGATTCCTGGGTGATGCAAAGATACAACCAAGAATATCAAACATATCTCAACGACACACGGTATGCTTCTTGCGATGGTTTCTTCTTGATTCTTCTGTGTTAGTTTGTTGTGTCGCTCGGTAGATGGCGTTAGTGATGTGTTGAAGGAGTAAGGAGTTAAGTAGACAGAGAAATAAATTGAGATAGAGAAAAGAAATACATACATTTATAGCTACATGATTTTGTTTATGATATTTAATTTTATAAATAAAATAATAATATGTATGTAAGAGGGTTTTGTAAGTTTTAAATCATTGTTAGGTAGGTATGTCTTGGTATTACACAACGTATTACAAAAATAAAACTAGGAAATGCAATATTAATTCTAATTAGTTCAAGAGACTAAATTATATTGAACTAAATTATTATAACACATTATTATATGTAATGTTTTAGGGTATCAGAAAGGTGAATAATTGATGTGTACTGACCTCAATGACCATAGTTTCAGAAGATACTTATGAATGACATGAACAAAATTGATATCTTATATTATTATATATAGCTGAAGAATTTGTTTGTTCGTTTGAACGCGCCAATCTCCGGCAATACTAGTCGGATTTAAATAATGATTTTTGTGTTGGATAGTGCATGTATCGAGGAAGGTTATAAGCTATAAAACATCACGCTGCGATCAATAGCAGCGAGTAAAAATGCACGGAAGTAGCTAGAGTTCAAATAAAATTGACTCTAATCACCATAATTTTAACACATATATTCCTGTACACATATAGATATATGACTAACCTGTACTTTGACGCTCTTCCTAGGGCGTAGAGACTCGAGTTTCTTGGCGGCGGCATCGATGGAGGCGGCGGCGCCTAGTAGCTCGTTCTCAGCAATAACTGTCGGGTCGTCCGGGTCTACCCAGTCTGAACCTGGGGGAGTGTGAGATTTGGCGTGTTGCATTATTATTGAAAAAGATAACAAATATTTCAGGTTTATAAAAATTGTCAGTCATGAAACTTTTTTTAAGTCGTGTTTTGAAAAAATAATCCCCTGGCTCGGAGTTCTTATATAACAGCCGATCTTACGACCACTCAACTAACCGAGCAAGTCATCGATTACTCAATTTAATTATATGTCAAAAACTAGCCGCGTATCGCGGAATGCTGCTCATGAATATGAGCCTCTAACATGGCTTGAAACTAGTCCAAATAGTGTATGTTTGTTACTTAATTACGTCAAAACGGCTGAAGGGATCGGGATAAAATTTGGAAAAGGGATAAATTATGGTATAGAATAACATATAGAGTATTTTTATCTCATGCGAATGCGAGTGTAGCCGTAACGTGTAACGTCATCAACATAAACTTTGTGTAGAGTGACACCACAACAATAGTCTCCGAACAGAACCGCTAGAAGCCGCTGAGCGTCACCTTTGAGCAGCTCGGCGGTGGCGATGATGTCAGCGGTGGCGTGCGCGACGTGGCGCGACAGGTCGGGCAGGTCGTGGCGCGCGCCGCCGTCGCCGCCGGCCGCCGCCAGCACGCCGCCCAGCAGCGCGCGGTAGGCCGCCGCCGCCGCGCGCCCGGCCTCCAACGTACGACTGCGGAGCTCCGCTGTCTCTGCTGCGTGCGCTGCGCCCTGTTGTGATCCAGTTTTACATTTAGTTAAGTCGTCCGACCAGTTCATAAAAAACAATGACATATAATTACATCACACCTTTTATTCCCGAAGGGATAGGCAGAGGTGTACATTACAACACTGAATGCCACTATACAGTGTAACGACCACTTTTTACTATTTATGTTAAGGGTCTCATGTAATAGAAGGAGACCCTATTTTTTCGAAATCTGAAATTCTTAGATTTTTTTTAAAAATCGTTGCCCCACACTAGGATTTTCTCATGTATCGTGGGTGCATTTACAAACATACAAGTTCGCATACACATGACACCCAGACCCGAAACAATTTGTGGATCACACAAAGAATTGCTCCGAGTGGGAATCGAACCCGCTACACGTTGCCCAGCAGCCGGTTGCATAATCACCGCACCAACCGTGCTATTTTGTTTCTATCTTCAACTATGTACCTATTATAAAATTGAGAATATACCTATTTTTGACTGAAAAAAACTTACTAAATCCACCATAACTGTGGATTAATGAAACAGTGAATTAACAATACATAGTGAAGTTACCTTGCAGACCACTAGTAGATCTACAACAGTCTTCCTGCCTAGATTGGCGGCGGCAGTCAGTTGGTCCTGCTTGTTCGCGTTCCCGGCGGCGACGGCGCGGGCCGTGGCCACGGTCATCTGTCGCGTGCAGCGGATCAACTCCTCGGGAGTCGCCGTGGACTTCGGAGCCGTGGATGACATAAGTACCTGTGGAGGATACAGGAATCATTGATAGGTAAGCTTCACAGTTCATACATATACATATGATTGTCTCGTCAAATTGTTGCGTGATTAGGTACCTTGTAAAACATTTTTGTTTGAATAGTTCTGGGTGCTTACTCTTGAAACCAGTCTATTTATAAATTATATATTTATCAATATTTATTTTAACCACTGCTGGCCATAAGTCATCCCGGAAAATATAGATCAGGAGGCCTACAACAATTCAGTTTAAAATTTTGACCTAATAGAAATTAAACCAAAATATTCGTGAGTTTTCCTATTCTTATTTTTAATATATTTTTAGGCATATCCCCTTCTCTTTCCAATGAGTTTAATTCTACACTACTTCTTTTGTTCACGTGTAAACGTACTGTTTTTTTAGCCTATTTACAAAAAGAAAAAATTATTACATTCAGTTTTATAGTTTTTTTTCGTTTTTAATTTTATTTGCATTGGCCTATAAGGCCAAAATTTTGTTACAAACCTCAATCTCTTGCGAGATAGCTTCTATAGTGGACTCCAGCGCCCTGGTGCCTCGTGTGTGCTCATCCTCCACCGCCTTCACGGTCTTCAGCAGTGACGTCACGTTTGTCACCATCACCTACACACAATATCAGGTCAGTTGGTGATAAACTGGTGATTAACGAGTGGTGATTTACTGATCATGTTTGGGGATGCATGAAAACTTTGTTTTGTTATGGGAGAATGTATTTGTCACCACCGCGACTCTACTTGTGGGTGTCATAATGCCGATTCTCACGGATTTTTGATGTAAGAATGTGAGTATTTTATAATACGTCAGTACTTGTACTGTTGTATAACTGATAGACAATTATAAATTGATTAAATTGTTTACTTTTTCCATTTAAAAGTAACTCAAATTATTGTCAAATTATGAATAGTTTTTCTTTTAACAATATTTTAATCTTTATATAATTCAAATGTAATTTAATAATTTTAATGAAGCGATTTATTTTTGCATGTTTGTAAAACTATTTATATAACTGAAAATATGATCGGTAAATCACCACTGCTTTTCACGTAACAATTAGAAATATTAAAAACAACGAATGTTACCATAAAAATTAATCTAAAAACATGAATTTAAAGCTTTGGGTTGCCAACTAGAATTAGGTTTTGAGTACGAAATAAAAAAAAATGACAAAAAACCCAGTGAAACGACAAAAGCGCCATGCGTAGCGGGAACCCATAAGCTTTCAAAAAAACACCATAAAAATAAGAAAAAAATCTCAAAAATACATACATACGTAATAATAATAATTATAAAAGTGAGGGTTTGAGGTATGGCTGAGTTTCAAAAATAACGAAGCGAGATTCACATAATTTTTCAAAACTTTTTGAGTAATGTAAATGTCGTATCGTTAGATGCCATGCCCTGTGCTCCCAAGAATAGAATCGTATGTCAATATCGGACTCATAGCTGTGTGTGCTTGATGTATGAAAGCTTTTGGTTTGGTTAACACATTGATGAGAAGCTAGTCCTCTTCGGAACCGCATGAAATGGATATCATGACTATATGGCTTTAGGAAATGTGTTTAGCACATTTTTAATACAAACTATATCTATTTTAAACCTGGAAAAGTATAATAATTCTTTAAAATAAGCTGTAATAGTTACATTGGCATCATTTTAGGTCTTACTAAAAATATTTCATGCTAAATGTTAAAACTAAACACGAGTACAATATTCATAAAAACATTTTAGACAACTATTTATGTACATTTTAAAATACCTCATTATCTTTAACGCGTCAAGTAATCAGTATATATAGCTAGCTATCAATATTTACAATCGACTTTCAACCTTACTATTTGATAATAAAGTAAAAAATCCATTAATAAAAGAGTATCTTGACGAGCTGCCTGTACAAGCAAGTGGACACCTTATTTCATGCCACACAGAGTTCAAAACTAAACACATTTCGATTTACGTGACGATGATGATGAAGCGAGTTAGTGGATGTGGCGGTCGGTTCCTCAACTCCGTCTTAAATAGGCATCACATAACATCGTCCTTTGAAATTTCGAAAATTCTTGATACAAAAATGATGTTAAGGAATGTTCTTAGCCGAAAATTCACTTCAGTCTTTCTATACGTAGATTTTATGGTCGAATTTGATAACCGATTTCAATTCAAAATCTCTGACTTTGCTGTATTATATTATTATAATAACTATCATGAGACATACGGTTTACTCACGTAAATATACCGAGATAAGAGTGCGAAGCACTAATAACTATCGCATTCGTAACGTATCGAGCGCGTTCGACGCTCTGATTCGTTGGTTCACTGGAGCCGGCCAATCAGAGCGCCGACCGCCACCAAGCTCTACTGCTACTCGAAACTAGCATTTCCTCAGGATTTATTTTCGACATTGTGTAAATGTAGCAACTTTGAATTAAAATCGGTAATTTATCACTGCTAAGCGGAACGTCCGATGAATAATGACGTATCTGGATATGATCCCAACAACCGACTGACAGACAATAAAAAAGCTTTTTAGAACAGCGTGCAAATACTCAAGTGCTACCGACCGCCACGACATCGATGATATAAGGTCTACTGGTCCACGACGCGTCATTCGACGGATGCATGCAACCTACAAATGACGGTAGGCAGCCTACAATGGGACTACAGTTTTGGACACCAGATGGAGTTAGTGTGAACCTGTTTTTTCGTCCAATAGGGAATCAGCTACTGTCACTGTATTGGTCATTCAATTTTTGACAGCTACAGTGATTGGACAAACTGACATTTTGCTAAATTATAACCATCTGGTGTTCGAAAAATGGTACCCCATTCTTTTGCGTGGATAGTTTTTAATGCTTCTAAAAAAGATGCAAGATATTTGTCATTTATAGGCCACTTATCGTCTTTTGTACGTTGCATGGATTCGTCCAATGACGCGTTATGGACAGCAGACCTAAGCTAAGGACCACACCATGCGGCGTGCGACGGTTAGACTAGAAGATTCTGAACTGTTTCTAACCGATTCATCATCCTTTCGGGTCACTGCCTCCGTCTCCTTAAACCTATCATTCCTTATCTCATCCAACATCCTTAGCTGTTCCTCCATTCGAGAACTAGGCCTCGACCTGGACTGACTTCTTATCAAAGACTGGAATCTCTCCAAATCTTCCTTAGTCTCCGTTTTGTTAAGTATCCTTTCGTACACTTGCCACCAGTTGTCAATTGAGCCGAATTGTTGTTCTCTGCTTTTGAGAACGTCTTCGTAGATAGTCCACCAGTTGTTCGCGTAATATTGCATCGGGTAGGTCCTTGTTAAGTCCATAATTTCTATGGAATTGCGTTTTTTCTCAGGGTTCGATCGTGTGCTTTTTATTGTGTCTGTATTATATATTATGGTGTGGTTAATGTTTCTGTGTAAACTGTTAGTTGTATATATATTATGTCTATTCTCTGGAATTATGTTTTCTTTATCTCTGAAATCTCGCTTGTATTTTCTTATAATCTCTTTGTAGTATCTTTCTAGAAGACAAAGTTCTTCGTATGTATATTTGCTTGTGTCTATTTGTGAGTAGATGTTTAGTATCTCTTGTATGTCTACTTTTTTCTTTCGATCGATTTTGATGTTAGATAACGCTTTCAGCTGTTCGATAAGAGGATCAAAGCCTTTGTAAATAAAGTCTTTTTTGGCGAACTCGATCAGTTTAAGCACCATATCTTCGTACTTTTTATTATATTCAAGATCTTGGTTCACGGCTTTAGATTTGTCAACTTCTTCGATAAAATTTTGTAGAGTATGCTTTTCATTTTCGAATTTATCTAATTGAGTTTGGAACTCGCCCAAAACGAGTTCATGTCCACTGAATCTCTCCAGTTCTCGTCTGGTTTCCTCCATCTTTTCGAGATTCCTTTTAGCTAAAGCTTTCCACCACTCCGTGTCATCTTTGAACATTTTCCAGAATTCCATTCTGACTTTTCTGGTCACGGTGCTGACATCAGTCGTTTCTCTAGATTTCACATCAGGTTTGACCACGATTTCCACGCTTTCATCTTTCTGCTTCTCCTCGGGGCTTAACAACTCTTTGGCAGCCTCAGCAGCCTCCGGAGACGGAGTTTGGACATCTAGACTGACTGGTCTGACCTTCTTGACTTTGAAAACTGGACTTGTTAACTTAACATCGTCTACTTTAGGCTTTTTATTAGGCACAGTCTCAACTCTGACCTCAGTTGTGACATTAATTTCTATTGAGTCCAAATTTTCTATGACAGTTGATAGTCGTTTCATTTCCGAGTCCAAATCGTTATTAGCTTTCGTTCTCTGGATCATTTCTCTCTTTCTATTATTCTCTTCCCTATCTCCTAGGTCATGGACCATGTCGACTAGTTTCTTGACTTCACCTAGAAGTATATTTTCTCCATATTTTAGGACTCGCCAGTCCATGTCTAGGAGACTGTTTTTAGCTGCGAGGTTGTACCGTTCATTCAAATCGTCATTTTTAAGGCTCCTAACAGGTGGTATAGTCATTTTATTTTCTATATACGTGATAATTTCTTCACAATTATCATGGAATATAGTCGGGGAGACATCGTCATCTTGGCTGGAATAGTCTAAGAGTTTGACCAGTTCATCTTCCTGGTCTGATTGGAAGATGTCAGTTTCGGAGTCTGCGGAGTTATAGTCGAGTCGCAGTATGGTGGAGCGCCTGTTTGGGCGAGGTATGGTGGTGGCTTTGAGAGGGAGGCTCCAGCGGCGCGTGGCGTCGGACAGTCGCTAGAGAAACACACCAGCTCAGTCCAATATTGACAGACACAAGGACAACACAAATGTTATGTATATGGATGTCTTTTTGAATACTTTTACGTTTCATATTGGAAAAGGTTTGCAATATTATCCAATTATTGTACCATTTCATAAATTAAAATATATATAAACATCTAAATAGTTAGTTAACAACTTTTTCAAATCATATTGTATGTTGGTATAAAAAACACGGTGTAAAAGTCCTTAATATTATTATATTTAAGTGTAACATTGCAAAACTTTTCCACTTAAAATGACTTGAAAACTAAATTGATTCTACTTTGTGTGATAGCTCAGTTAAATAAATCAAAAAAGTTAATAATTTTGAAAAACAGTGGGAAACAAATCGTCAAGTCTCGCAAAGTATTGAATTTGTTTCCCTGCGTTTAGGCCAAAAATTTGTAAAAAAACATATGAACATAGTTTGTAATAAGTGACTAAAATTACTAATAGTTTATATTTACAAAGCTATGTACTACTTAAAGCTATTAAAATAAATAATGTAGTAATTGTAGATAATGTACAGTAGTGAGTGTGTATTGTAATAGACTAATTTCTAACCATATAGTCAAATTTAATACTTTCATAATAACTATCGTGAGACATACTAAATTAACTAAAAATCTTGGCAGTTCGTGCCGAAGCATGGCTGTTCCACATTTGATACCACGGCCTTTTAGAAAACCAACGTAAACGATTGTATCATTTTATTTTTTTTAAACGTTGCCCCACACTAGGATTGTCTCCTGTGTCGTGTGTGCGTTTACAAACATACAAGTTCACATACACATGACATTCATTGTTATTGTTTCGTCATGTGGGTGAGGTTACTGGAGGCCCTATTACGTTCCTCCCCTCCCTAATCTCTGAATCTCCAATGTAACAATCTGTAAATTCTTAATCCCCAAAAGGCTAGTAACGCATTTGTAATGCCTGTGGTGTTTCGGGTGTAATTGGGCGACACTGATTGCATACCATCAGGTGATCTATCTGCTCGTCTACCGGCTAATAGCCATTAGCTTCTTTTTTTTTTCATAAAGTTCAAAAGAGGCTTCGTGGTCTAATTGAAATAAATGATTTTGGCTTTTGACTTTCTCCATAAAAAAGTGTAGTAGTGAGTGTGGAGTATTGTAGTGTCGCGAGTACCTTGGCGGCGTGCTTGAGGCGGTGCATGTCGGGGTGCGCGACGGTCTTGCCGGAGGCGGCGGTGGTGGCGGCGGCCAGGTCGCGCAGCGCGGCCGCCACGTCGCGCGCCGCGTGCAGCAGCAGCACCTGCGGCTCCGGGCTGGCGCTGCCCAGCGACATCGCGCCCAGCTTCACCACCTCGCACAGTTGCACTGCCGACATCGGAAGCGTCGGACATTTAAACGACACTCGACACTAATATAAACTAACTTAAAAAAATCCGACTTCATATGAAGTCAGTTAATTAACTCGTCGAGTACCGGTTTTGCAGACACAATTATAGAACAATAGCTTGCGGTCACCGGTGACCGCTTGGTGTTTGACAGTTTAATTACTAATATCCAAATATGTACTGAAAAGTTACTCAATTTTAAGTTGTACTTAAATATCATGTCATCTCTGTCATTTTACAAAGAATTTGTAGAGACAGGACTATACTCTAACGCGACTAAAAATTAAATAACATTTCAGTATTCGGGTGTAAAACCTTCTTCTAATTATAACAACCACTTTTCTGAAACCCGCATCAAAATAGATTCAACCATTCACGAGATAGCCACGCACAAACATCCATACAAGTCAAACTTAAAGCCTCCTTTTTTAAGTCGGATACAAATACACCCACGTCCTCCACAGATAAGACTACTTCTATTTGGAAGGTATCACAGCCATTATTTACTGTGCTAAAGAACATAAAAATATGTCCAGGGGACTGAATTTGATGAGTTTATTGCACCTGTGAAAAACCCTCAATCGGTTCAGCCAATCACGAGATAATCGTGAATAAATAAATATACTTATATCAAACTGAAAACCCCATTTTTTATAAATCGATTAAAAAGAAGTAACAATGAATAAACCTTATTGTACAATAATAAGGTTGATGTTTCTTCAAAGGTATAAGTAGTGGACTACATAAAATATATATTATATTTTGACTAATTCTTCTTGAATCTACTAAAGTCATACGTTACAACGTAAACTCTATCTACACAGACACAGAGTACAGAATCCACTGACCTATAGTACTGACGGCGCTCTGTGCCGCAGTGGCCAGTTGTTCCTGAGTACCAGCTGCTCCTCCGACGAGGGTCTTGGTGTCTTCTACCAAAGTCTTCGCAGTCTTCAGGATATTCTCCCGGTGATCGGAGAATGTGTCTGATTCTTTCTCTGAGTGGAGAGTACCTGATGGGAAAAAACATGAAATTAGTTTAAGTAGGAAGGTTACCTGATGGTTAGAGACTTAAACACTAGAGCAGTTATAAGTGCCTATTGTTATATGAATATTGGCTTTCACTACCCTGACTCAGCCACTTCGGTTGTTTTATGACGGTTTCCAGTTAAAGCCGTGGACTCTGGTCTAGCTATACCGACTATAACTTCTTTCTCTTCGCAATCAGTTCACAATAAAACTTTACACTTCCCTATGGTTGACTGTCAGGGAATAGACATTCCCTGACCAATCCCTGACATTCTACGAGTCTGACCTGTGGGTGATGCAGAGAAGAGGCAAGCAATGATTTTATTTAACAAGTGAAAGATAAACTAGTATATTTCAGAGATATAAATAATAAATACAATTATAATATATACCTACTCACGAGTGCAATAAACCTACATACATACATACTATATAAATATAATTAAGTCCGCCATTCATTGGTATCTTTGTGAAGAAGAAATAAATAAATAAAATCCATTAATATACTACAATTTGCTCTTAAGTGTAACAAATATTTTTCTGTAAACTAAATCAAAATCGTTAAAGCCAATCTCGAGAGAAACAGGCGTGAACAAACGTACATTCATTACAGGTAAAACAGCCAACCTCCCTTTTTTTGAAATCGCATTAACATAGACCAAACCGACAGTAATCCTGTTGTTCCAGAAATCGAACTCAAAGGCAACAATGAAGTCTTAGAAGTAGATTATATAGTAGATAAAACCTAACAGGTTGCCGACTCCGGGTCGACGTGCAGGAGAAGGAACGGGGTGGTTTTTATTCAGTAAGAGTTTGACACTCTCTCCCGCCTCACCCAGGCGGGAGCAGGCGTTCGATGATTTTCCCCCCTTAAAAAAAGACGTAGATTATGATGAGTATACATACCGGCGCTGGCGAAGAGTATGGTGGTGTCGAGGTCCCCAATGATGGCGGCGATGGTGGCGGCGGCGTCGATACACGCCTGCGTGCCGCGGGACCCCGCCTGCAGGCCGCTCAGCACTGCTATCACCTGGGTTCAACAAGTTATATTGGAAAATGTTACATACATCGATATTTAAAACTAATTCGTAGGTTTTATTCTGAGAATATTTTGGGTACTGAGTTAAGTAGCGTAGTAAGCGCCGGTTTAACCACCTCTATATAAGTACCTGATAAACTTATGTGTCAGACAGTTCATACAAATTACGTTCTTAATTCAAATTTATCTAGTAGATAACGGCTATCCAGATATTGTGAAAAAGGCCCTTAATCTTATTATCAAAATATTGCGTTACTATTGCGACGAGAATGCATAAAAAGACTGAGTAAAGTACACGTAAAACAAACTCATACTAAGGCCTGTTGACTGTTGGTGGAGCGACAGAGACATGTAAGAATCGTAGCAATTGGCGTTCTATAGTCTCTGCCTAATACCATGGGAGACAGGAGTGAGGTTATGTATGTATTGAATATAAGTTTTGTATAAGTCGTACCTTCTCGTTAACAATCTTGGCGCTATCAGCGACGGCGCGTTGGTTCTGTGGTATGGCGGAGAGGCGACAATGGCCGCCTGCCTTGATCAGCTCTGACACTCCCTCGCCGAGTTCTACTACTGCTACGCGGATCCTGGAACGAAACATTATATTATTTTCTATACTATATAAAACGGTCGGCAAACGAGCAGCTGGAACACTTGATGGTAAGCAATCGTGGGCCATGGACACCCTAAGTCTTTAGGGATTGTGAATTATGAGTTCAAGATTTGGGGATTAGCGATGGGGGAGGAATGAACCTCCGCTACCTTCATAACGTGGCGTGTCAGAACGATTTGGTAGTTTCATGTCGGTTTTCTATAACGCCGTGGTATTAAACCGCTCGAGCCGGCCGCAGTGCCGAAGCATGAAGCATTGTTTTCATTAAAAAAATATATTGAACTCCACTCCCCATTCTAAAGACATATCTAATATGTATTGTATATAAAAATGAATCCCCTTTTCCCTTGGTCACGGCATCACGCGTGTATGCCTGGACCGATTTCACTAATTCTTCTTTTGTTGTATTCGTTATTATTAGGAGAAGGTTCTTAAAAATCCTGAAGATCCTAAGGGAGAAAACGGGATTGCATGTACGAAGTCGCGGGCAGAAGATATATATATTAATATATACATATATATTATATTGTCTGCTAATACAATGTTAAGTTACCTGTTAGCAATATCGGAGTTGGGCGTAGTGGCGGACGCCCCGACACTGTCCTGTGCGAGTTGTTCGTACTTCTGGCACATCTCGTTGCCTAGCTGTACCAGGCGACTCGCGTCCGTTGCTGACTTCGCCGTCTGCGGTAATAATATTAAATTAGATCTGGTTGTAAGTATATTTTAAAAACGGTGCTCCATTTCAGCAACTTCTACTGATTTTTGGGCGAGTTTACCAACACGCAATTAAACATTCACTGCTACGCGCATCCCACCCAGATCCGGACCAACAATGTACTAATAACATTTTTTTTATGGCATAACCCGGTAAACGAGCAGACGGATCACCTGATGGTAAGCAATCGGCGTCACCCATGGACACCTGAAACACCAGAGGCGTTACAAGTTCGTTATCGGCCTTTTGGGGATTAGGAGTATGAGGATCGTTGGTGATTCAGGAATTGAGGAGATTGGGGAAGGGGAGGGTAATTGGGCCTCCGGTAACCTCACTCACACGACGAAACACAACGCAAGTGTTGTTTCACGTCGGTTTTCTACTCGTTGGTACTACTGCTACTCCGGTCGAACTGGCCCATTCATGCCGAAGCATGGCTCGCCCACACTAAACACTAGTAAAGCTGTGAGATGTATCACTTACCATGTCTGTAGCGAGCCTGGCGATCTCCTTGGCGGCGCCGACCATACGCGTCTGGTAGTCCACGAACGAGTCCGACTCATCGTACGAGCCGATTAGAGACATTCTGTAACAAACACAAACATAATGTTTAGTTCTAGGGCCATCTAGCTTATTGATATTTAACGAAAGGAAAAAGAATGACAAAGAAGTTCATCTATAGTAAGTACATTCAAAAATTCAAATTCAAAATTCTTTATTATTATCTTAAGAATTACACTATCTGTCTAACATTCACATTAGTACTATTTTGGTACGAGTCAGATATAAACAAATAGGTAGGTATAACTTTGCCGGAACCTTTTTTTATGAAGAATCTTCTTAATGATATAATTAAACTGCTCGCGGTTAAAGTCGACCTATGGCAGCAGGATTTACCTTCAACAGCTTTCTGCTGGCAGTCAGGCTTAATTATTTTGAACCGTAAAGTATTGTGATGTGATTTGTGCTTGGTTGCTGCATTGATTGTTTTTATTTATTTATTTTAATTCGGGTAACCAACAGCTATATTACAAGGAATAAAAAATCAGAATATGCTAATACAAAGCCAATTATAGGTCTCTACGGCTAGTCTCAGTATATCTTTACAGAGGTTTTGCGAATGCGATGCACACAAAAGTAAAAAAAAAAACCATTAACTTTTGGATAATTGAATAAGGTAGAAAGATACATTACTTATGTTCTTTCCGGTTAGGTAACTAAACTAAACAATATCTTTGAATTCCTTCAAGAAACAATAAGAAGTATTTGTGCCAAACTTTACTCAACAAAACAATGCTACAATTTGTGTGTAAGAATGGAAAGTATCGCAATAAACAAATCAAATTAACCTCGCGTCCAGCTGTAGAGAGTGGGACGCGCAGACAAACAGACGCACGATGCTCGCGGCCTATATAGTGAGAGCATTACTCTGTTATTTACTACGCGAGCATATAGGGATGTCAACATTCTAACATTATTTTAACAATAATATAATATCACGCCTTTTATCCCCGAAGGGAAAGGCAAAGGTGCACATTTAAATTTTGTTTAAGTTAGCTTCTTTGATACATACACAATCTCCGTAAAATAATGTTGACTGCCTCGTTGGCCGAGTGGTCGCAAGTGCGAGTGCCGGGCAAGGGGTCTCGGGTTCGAGCCGGGCAAAGTTATACTAGGTTTTCTAAAAAAAAAACTCCGTTACTACTGCACAGAGTCTGGAATTGTGCCCGGTATATGGCAATAGGCTCACCCCCTATTACATGGGACTCATAACATAAATAGTGAAAAGTGGGAGTTACATTGTACAGTGGCATTAAGTGCCATAATGTCTACTCTGCCTACCCCTTCGGGGTTAAAAGGCGTGATGTCATGTTAGGTTAGATCAATATATAGTCAAGGAACAATAGAAAGCTAACCACAACCCTAGTCCAAGTGAAATATGCGTAGAGATGCAAGCCGACCTTGCGTTAGTATCGCGACGATATAATTCGCGGTACGATGTACCTCTAGGAGTTAAAATAAACTTTACGACTACTGGCCGCTGTCAGGCGAGCAGCGACATTGACTGATGGAACGATTGCTCTATTTATTGCGAATATTAAGTTTCTTAGCTTCCAAAACGGTTTAGTCTTACTTAAATACATAAATATATTGTATGGGGTAGATTTTGATCATAAACATTAATGCATTACGGCATTAAGGCAGCTATGGTCAGCAGTGGACACTTCATGGCTGATATGAAGATGATGATGGAGTTTCTTGCTCGTTCTTCTACATAGGAATCCACACCTTGGAATGAGCAACTAGCTTCACTTCTCGATTTTAGTTGTTGACTTTCAAAAGTGCCTTTCCTGGTCCAATTGAAATAGAGGACTTTGACTTTGATGATGATAGTGACTACATAAAGTCACATTATTTCTATCTTTCTTATTTTAATCCCCGATGGGTTATGCAAAGCTGCAGGTACAATGTAACACCAACATTTCCCCATTTATGTTATGAGTCCCATGTAAGAGGGGTTGAATCTATTGTCATAAACTGAACATGATTTTAACTCAGTGCTATTATACCGAGATATTTTTCGAAAACGCCTTGATATAATACTTTTTCCGATCCAACAAATTGAACCCGAAAGTCGTTCGTCGTTCGGCAGTCGTCAATTTTCGACCACTGAAACGGCCGATGAAGTCGTCAAATTATTCAACTTTATAAGATAACTATAGCTAATATAAGTATGTCACATAAATCCGCTGCTCTCGTTGGCCGAGTGGACACAAGTGCGACTGCCGGGGTCTCGGGTTCGATTCCCGGGTCGGGCAAAGTACTCATAGGTTTTTTAAAAAAATCTCAGTAGTAACACGGAGTTTGGAAATGTGCCCGGTGTATGGCAATAGACTCACCCCCTATTACATAAATAAGTAGTGAAAAGTGGGTGTTACATTGTATAGTGGCATGCCTACCCCTTCGGGGATAAAAGGCGTGATGTTATGTTATAAATCCGCCTGTGTGCTGGAAATCAGCAGCAGTTGGTGCGTATTATAATAAAATAATATAAGAATATATAAGTTATCGATCTTCAATCAGAATTCAGCGCTGACGTCAGACGAACGGATATACTAAATGTGTCGGGATCAACTGATGAGAATCTTGTAAGAAAAAATTCCATTGAAATATCAATCGAATGTCGATTTTGTTTAATGATTAATGTTTAGTAATGTAATAAGCGAAAGTTTTGTTAATTTGTTGAACTCTACGCTTTATCTACTAAACCAATGTTCTAGATATTTTGTACACAAGTACGGACGGACCGAGCAAACCTTTCCTAGAAATTCCAGGCGGGTAAAACCTAGTTATTCATGATATGACATAGTTTCTGGTAGAAATCTTATCTTTTATTTATATTTGTTATTTCTGTTTTGTTATGACTGCCTCGTTGGCCGAGTGGTCGCAAGTGCGACTGCCGGGCAAGGGGTCTCGGGTTCGATTCCCGGGTCAGCTAAGTATTACTGGGTTTTTAAAAATCTCAGTAGTAGCACGGAGTCTGGAATTGCGCCCGGTATATGGCAATAGGTTCACCCTATATTACATGGGACTCATAACATAAATAGAGAAAAGTCGGTGTTACATTGTACAGTGGCATTAAGTACCTCTCCTTCCCCTTCGAGGATAAAAGACGTAATATTATGTTATGTTGTTATTTTTTTCTGTACGCACTATATTATTAATGGCGTACAATAAAGATTACTCTATTATATTCGAATAGTTTGTTAAAAAACAAAACAAAAAGACAATGCAGTTCATATTACTCGTGATAGCTGATAACTAACATAAAGTAGGGTTATTATGGTCCTAGCGAGTCTAACCTGATCCTAAAGCGAAATTAATCGTTACATTTTCGAAACAAAAAAATAAATAAATAAACAAACTAACTTCAATTCAGCCATATTGCAATATCCACTTTAAATTACACAAATATCACTACACACACAAACATACACACACTGAACTTATCTATTATTTTAACTAACACTTCAACATACAACTAATTAACTCGTCGAGTACCGGTTTTGTAGACACAATTATAGAACAATAGGTTGCGGTCACCGGTGACCGCTTGGTGTTTGACAGTTTAATTATATCAAGTAATATATCAAGAGCGATACAATAAAGACGTGTGCCCTCCACGAGAGGTGTAAGTCAACTGAGTGTTGTAGTAAACAAGATGTGCGCGCATGTTTTATTGCAGATCTAGATGTTTTGGGAAGTCTAGACTGATTGGTAGGATATAGTAGTAAGTATAGGTAGTTGTGTGTGAGAGAAAACTAGTAAAATATAGTGTAACGGGTATGTTTATAGAGATATTATTGGTTTGGTAGTAGAACTTGCGTCAGACGCGGCATCGAAGTACTGTAAATTGAAGTTATTGATTTAACAAGGGTCATAATCATCAACAGCCTATAATGCCCACTGCTGAGCAAAGCATCTTCTCACACGGAGAAGGTTTGAGCATTAATCACCACGCTTGCTCAATGAGGGTTGGCGATTTCAAACTTATAATTATAAATTATAAACCCAGGTTTCCTCACGATTTCGTTCACCGTTTGTCAGTGGTGTCTAGATAATTAAGAACTTGGATACCAAACGATAATTAAAAAAAAAACATGTTAAGAGTTTACTAGTATGTAGATGGTAAAAGTAGTCTTTTACTAAAAAAAACATGCCTGCCGCGCTGGCCGAGTGCAAGCGCAAGCGCGACTACGGGGCAAGGGGTCTCGGGTTCAATTCTCAAATCAGGCAAAGTAACAAGTAGTTTTAAAAAAAAATTACATGTGACTCATAATATGAATACTGAAAAGTTGATGTTACATTGTACAGTGGCATTAAGTGCCATAACATTGAAATTGTGAAAGTGTTTCAGGTTTTTAGCGAGCGATACTGGTTGCCAATTTTTTTTCCATCATTCATTAAGCTTAAGCTACTTAATAATTTAAAAATTAATGATAACAATATCACCAAAGCTACTACTGAATCTATCCTACTATCAAAACAAAATATAAAAAAAAATGTTAGTCCTTCGGGTCAGTCCTCTAGTGAAGCTGTTTGCTCATTCCAAGGTGTAGATTCCTATGGAGAAGAACGAGCAAGAAACTCCATAGGTTACTCTTTTTCAATCGGTTTCACAATACAGTATTCTTGGTTACATTGCATACTACATGCATACTATATATACCCCGTTAAATATACCATCTTTAGTTAGATCATCGACTACCGTAACGTTGGCATACTGCCAAATGCAGCTCTCAATGAGCGACACTTAAGAAATTAGTAAGCTTTAATTAGGTATACACCCAGCGGGAAGATCAAAAGTGGGTGACGCAAGTTTCTCTGATACATTATTATAAGAGGTTCAAGTGGACTTTCGGGAGATTGTCCATACTATACAAAGAATCTTAATTTATTCAAGAGATCACATAAAGTTATAAAAACTAACAATTTAACAAAAGTTGTATGTCTGTTCTTTCCGCGGATGTCGTAAGAGTAAAGTCATCGAATGTCCAAAATCAAAATAGCCCATGTCACTCCTTAGTACATTAGCTACCTACCAGTAAAAGTCTCGTCAAAATCGGTCCAGCCATTCCAGAGATTAGCCAGTACAAACAGACAGACAGCAAAAATTCTAAAAAATGTTATTTGGTAACTATATGTATCGTATTCATACGTATGTAGTAAAAACCGGTTGTTTTAATATTACAAACAGACACTATAATGACTAGATGGAGTACACAACTGTGTAATTGACAGAGCGCGAGCACCAACACTCTCTGACAGACCTAAACCATTTCCAACCTAATTGGCAAGCGTCGAGGATATGGCACACCCATATTTGTGACCGACACTCCGATATTGGACTGGTTTACCGACATGGTCGTGGTGACCCGGAGGCTTAAGACGCCCGCTTCTCATGCATGAGGGTGCGAGCTCGAAACCTACCAACGGCAAGTATCAATGTGACGTTTTCCGAGTTATATGTACTTACTAAGATTATTTAGACACCACTGATAACCGGTGAAGGACAACATTGTGAGGAAACCTGGGCTTATAATTTCTAAGGCCTTTGGTTAGCAGTTGACACTTATAGACACTTGATGATGATGTTATACCAAGCCACAATATTGCCCGTACTTTCTAATATACAACACAGAACATGTGTGTCCCGGCGTGTTCCCGAAATAGTTCCCCCCGCGGTACATTCGCACTACAGCTGAGCGGCTCGAGCGGTTAAGGTCGCATCGACAGTTAGTAATAGTTATGTATGTACGATTGTGTATTACGTCATAATGACTTCATTGGTGGATGATGATGGAAGCTGATTTCTAGTCGAATGAGTTAGTAAATATAAATAAACTATTTGTTAACGTTATAGACGTCGTATTGCCAATTATTTACGTGTTTAGCATTTTTTTTCGGCGTCGCACATGGACACACGGCACCAGAGGCGTTATAAGTGCGTTACTGGCTTTTTAAGGATTAGAAATTTATTGGAAATACGAGGATTGTTGGGGATTCAGGGATTGGGGAGATAAGAGAGGGGGGGGGGGAGTAATTGAACTGATGAAGGAGTATACTTCATCGGACACCATGGCGCCGCAACGCGGCCGGACTGGCGGCTGAGTGAGTGACATACAACGGGATAGTAATTAGTGGTGGCGCGACCAGTAACATTCAGCGTTGGCATCCGAGCTGGTCACGCTACTAGGTTGGTTGCGCAACCAAGCGGACACGTGAGTAACGTCGTATAGAGCTGTATCGGCAGTAGTTACCTGTGTTCCGTGAGCCGGGCGATGGCGCGCTGCATGGAGTCCAGCAGCGGGCCGACGGCGCCGCGCGCCGCGCTGAGCTCGCGGACCTGCGCCTGCAGCTCCGACAGCGCCGAGCGACACTGCGCCACCTGCACCTCCACCTTGCTGTGCGCCGACACCGCCTGGGGGACGGTTCCATGTTACTTTGCAGTTTCAAGACTGGATTAATTAAAATGGGTTGCGAAATGGCTAAGTGTTTTTTTAAATATAAAGTTGCATGGTCAATGTCATATTACTTTTAACACTAAACTTCTTTAATTCCAAAACTGATAGAAGTGTATTTCGTAACATGATGTAGATTGACAAATGTACAAAATATTATAAATCCAAAGACTAGTATGTATATGTTATAAATCTGTTTCTTTGTGTGAGTAAACGCAGTAATCTCTGTAATTCCTGGTACAAATTGAAGATAATATTTTAGAATATTATATAAAACATCAGTCTACGCTCAATAGAAGGTAAGTAGCAGGTGAAACTGCGGGGAAATGACTATACCTAAATATATATTTAAAACTATTGAGAAACGTATAGTTGGGACAGACCCGTGGGTTCCCGGCGGCGGCCCGGGCGTCGTGCAGCAGCAGCGCGAGCGTCTCCAGCACGGTGCGCGCGTGCTCGAACAGCGCGCCCTGCGTGCTCGACTCCGACAGGTTCGAACCCGCACCCACCGTGCCCGACACCAACGGCTCCGCGTATGATACCTGTTTGGACATGAGAAATTAGTATTTCGTATGAATACTCATAAAACCGTTTTGACAGCTATGTAGAAGCAGTGATTTCATAATTTCATAATTGGGTACTTTTCTTAATCAAAAGTAAATTATTTCAACTGTTAAATACAATAAAATATTAAAAAATAATCACACTCTCATTGATTGATTTTATGACCAACTTAATTTTAGTATTTCGCCAGTTCATTTTTAAGAAATAAGTATGCTGTTTGACGCTAAAAAAACGTGACGTCACAATACACAATCTCGTACAAAATTAATAGAAAACAGTCGTTTCTGACCATTCAAATAAGTATTGAATTTGACTAGTCGGCAAGTAGCCGATTCTATTGCCTACAAAATCAAATAGAATGTCTCCTTACACATAGTTTATCATGAGCCTCATCGATACGTTAGAACATCGCGAGGAAACCTGGACTTGTATTTTCTAATTATAAGTTTGTAATTTCAGCAAGAGTGGCGATTAATGCTCAAACATTCTCCACTGAGAAGAGGCTTTGGTCAGCAGTGGGCAAATAGGCTGTTGTTGTGTAGATTCTCATGCATAAGATCTAGCAAGAAAGTGAATAATTGGTTTGGTTGTTTAAGTAAGATTGGAGTGAGTGACAAGTGAGTGGCGCACCAGTTGTACGACGGCGTGTCCCAGGTGCTCGGCCTCCCCGAGGGCGGCCACCCGCAGCGGCTCCAGGCGCTCCAGCATCTCCGTCGCACTGTTCTCTATCTGCTCCGTGTAGCCTGACACGGATATCATGACACGTATATTTATTAAGTTAGGTTACATTGTTGACGAAAGATCAAGATGGAAATCAAAACATAATTCAAATCTGACTGCTCGTTGAGCTATTTACCAATACTGACTTTTGAAAATAACTCAGGTAATAGATAATATATTGATACGTCAAATTGAAAAACCATGATCTAACGCAACAGGTGACAGACAAAAATCATTAACATTCAATATAACTAGCATCACTGAAGGCTCCGGTATAACTCGAAATTAACCTCTCGCGCGCTTCTCCTACACACGGGTAAACATTTTAATAGAAAAGCGAATGAACTATTCTGTTCAATCAAATAAAGAACGGGTTACAAACTTGAAAATATACGTCACATAAAAAATATCCAATCGATGCGCGTTTCTCGTACACCCGTGTGTACAATTGCGCGATGGGCACTCAACTCTAAAACACGCGAGAGGTTCGAACACACTTGAACATTTATAAATACAATAATAAGTTACCTTGCAGCGTATTATTCTTCCTGGGCACCAGTTCCTGTCCGACGGCCTGCATGGCGGCCTGGTCCAGTTCACGCAGCTGTCTGTTCAGCGTGTCTAACGCCGCTACGCATTCTCGCTGGCCTGGCGCCTTCTCTCTGTTGGGGAAAGTGTTTATTGAAAAAATAATCAGTCAACGCAGACTAGTCAACTCTAGACTGCATTATGTATTGTCCAAGGCTATTGCCTTTTTCGATCTTTTTGACTGGATTTTGGTGTTACATTGTTCTCGCACAATCGAACCAACAAAATTATGTAACTAGAAAATTGTATTGTGAACTTGATTGAAAAAGAGTAACCTATGGAGTTTCTTGCTCGTTCTTCTCCATAGGAATCTACACCTTGGAATGAGCAAATAGCTTCACTTCAGTGAAGTGGAGATAATTTGTTTATTGATGTTCAAAAGTGCCTTCCTGGTCTAATTGAAATAAATCTTTTTGACTTTGACTTTGATTAGCATCATCAGTCGGAAAACGTATTCCGTATAAATTTTGTTATAATTTTTGTATGCTGAGCTTTTTTCGAGTTTCCTTGTGCGAACCGCTAAGGAGTGGAATTCTTTGCCAGGGTCTGTGTTTCCTGAAGGGTCTTCAAGTCCTAAATGAATAGAATAGATAGCTTATGTAGGCGTGCTTCATTGTACGACGTATCATTGCTTACCATCAGGTACACATCCAAAATTATATGATGGTAGAGTAAAGTATACGTACTTGATGTTAGCGACCAGTCCCTTGATGCTATCGGACACAGTCTTGCTGTGCAGCGCCAGTTGTTGCCAGTGGGAGCGCTCGGCTGGAGACACTCCCAGGAGACGGGCTGACTCCAGCATTGAACACGAGCCCGAGATTATGTTCCTAGGGATCGATAGGACATATTGTAACATATAAAATAGTAAAAAAGAAATGGATGAAGTAGGTGTCAAATTTTTTAATGTTGTCTTAAAACATTAATAGTGAGCACCTAGAGATTATGAGCACCTAGCTTCACTAACGGACAGATTGCCAGTTTAAAAAGTACCAAATTATGGTTTATTTGACATAAATACTTTGACTTTGAAAAAAAAAACTGTGATTATTATTCAAAAACTAAAGATTTGTTGAATATGTTATTGTAGTGTATGCAGATACACGTACATCAATCATAATAAAGGTTATATTGTGACGCCTCGGGCGCATACGTCGCTCGGTTATAAATACCGGTCCGAGTAGAGGGGCAGGCAGTCGTTGTCAGACTGTCGGCCTGTGCGGTGGTGCGTTGGCGAGTCGGTAAACAAAGTAATACAATCACGTGTACAATACATTGGCGACGAGGATAAAACAGTGAGTGTTTAAACCAACATTATTTCTCAAGACTACCCACATGTTTTTAAATTATTACAACCAATAATATTTTTCAAGACTACCCACATGTTTTTAAATTGTTACAACCAATATTATTTTTCTAGACTACCCACATGTTTTTAAATTGTTACAACCAATATTATTTTTCTAGACTACCCACATGTTTTTAAATTGTTACAACCAATATTATTTTTCTAGACTACCCGCATGTTTTTAAATTGTTACAACCAAATTTTCTAGACTACCCACATGTTTTACATTGTTTTTTTTTATTAAATAATACATAATTAGGTATCGTTGGTTAAATCACCAAATATTAGTTTGGAAGTATTTTATCACACGAACTGCACATAACTATGTATTTTTTTTTAATGAGTTTACTTTGTAGTAATGTTAATTTTTTTTGTTACACATTTATATACAGAATCATTATTTAGTGATCCGATCAGTTCTTATTATCAATTTTACACAAAACTTATTAACAATAAAACTTTAATGAAAGTAGTGAATTTTACTTTAGTATTTATTAAATTGACAACAAAGCAGTTTTAGCAGTAGGTAGTCCATATCTACTGGTCATTAAATTGACAACTTGGTATTTAGCAGTAGTCTATATCTACTGGTCATTAAATTGACAAATTGATAGTTAACAGTAGTCTATATCTACTGGTGACAGTGATGCAAATCTACTGGTCATTCAATTGACAGAACATTCTAGCAGTAGTTGACAACTACTGGTCATTCAATTGACAATAACTAATCAGTACCAGTAATGGGTACACACTGTTATCAAATTGACAGGAATTAATAAACAAACAAGTTTGTAGCAGCGAATTTATATGGGCGGTAAATACAAGGCCTGTATAATTTAAAATGCGTTTATTCATTCCAGGTTTTTGAATAAAACATGAATACCCAACTAACACTGGAAAAATTTGATTGTGAGGGGGAACCTACATCAGTAGGAGCGCGATGGGAACGCTGGAAACGCGCACTTCTGATTTACCTTGAAGCAGCTGGTATAGAAAGAAGTGAGAAGAAACGGGCCTCATTGTTACATTTTGGTGGGTTAGCGTTACAGGAAATTTTTCATAATATACCAGATGCAAATATACCAGCAGCAGATGGCGTTGACGTCTTTGCAGTGGCCATAAAGAAACTTGATGAGTTTTTTCTGCCAAAACAAAGCAAGGTGTATGAGCGCCATCTCTTTAGACTGATTAAACAAGAGGCCAATGAAACATTTGATAAATTTCTTATACGACTACGACAACAAGCGGATAAGTGTCAATTTAAGGACAAAGACGATCAAATTATTGATCAGATTACTGAAAAGTGTTCCTCTAAAGAACTGAGAAAGAAAATTTTACAAACTGGAGATTCTATGACACTCACAAATATAATAAATGAAGCAAACACACTAGAGGCAGTAAGCAGACAAATAGAAGGATTTGGAGGAGGCAGCACATCGTCTGACAGCATAAACAGAATTAAAAGTACAAACCATAAATTTAACAATCAAAATGAAAGAAAGTGGACAGAAAAATCAAAATGTGGGAGGTGTGGTAGCACTGGACACGGTTCTCAAGACAGCAAATGCCCAGCAAGAGAAAGAGATTGCCACAAGTGCGGGCTGAAAGGACATTTTCGACAATTTTGTAGAACAACGACAAGAAATAAAACTAATAAAAGAAAACACAGCACAAACGATCCAGAAAACGGTAACGAAAAGAAATTTAAAAGAGAGTACCCAAGAAGTAACACAAATCAAATAGACCAAACGGAAGATACTGAAGATATACAATATGTGTTCAAAATTGATGATGATAGTGTAATAGATTGCTATGTTGGTGGTATAAAAATAAAAATGCTAGTAGATTCAGGCTGCAAATGCAACTTGATCACAAGTAGAACCTGGAATTTTATGAAACAAAATAGCATTAAAGCATTAAACCAAACACATAGATGTAATAAAACCTTCTACAGTTATGCGAGTAAAACACCTCTTGAGTTATTAGGATCTTTTAATGCTAACTTGAAAATTGCAGATAGAGAAACAAAGGCTACTTTTTACGTTATTGCCGATGGAACTAGAGACTTGCTCGGAAAAGACACCGCCACCGAAATGGGTGTACTTAAGGTCGGGTTAGCAGTCAACCAAATGGACATCAACAAAGAATTTCCAAAATTCAAGGACGTACTAGTGGAAATACCAATCGACAAAAATGTGCAACCTGTTTCTCAACCATTAAGAAGGATCCCTATACCGTTGGAAGAAAAAGTTAGTAAGAAAATAAAGGAACTTTTGGACAAAGATATCATAGAAGAAGTTCAGGGTTCTTCAAGGTGGGTATCACCAATTGTCCCAGTTCTAAAAACTACGGGAGATGTTCGGATTTGCGTAGACATGAGGCGAGCCAATAAAGCAATTTTACGTGAAAATCACCCATTGCCCACCATGGACAAATTACTGCCAAAAATGAAAAACGCGAAATACTTCTCAAAATTAGATATCAAGGATGCTTTCCATCAAATCGAGTTACATCCAGACTCACGACACATCACGACTTTTATTACCAGCAAAGGACTTTTCAGATACAAAAGGTTAATGTTTGGAATATCATGTGCTCCAGAAATATTTCAAAAAACTTTAGAACGCATGCTTTTAGGATGTGAAGGAACTATTAATTTCATAGACGACATATTAGTTTACGGAAAGAATATAGAAGAACACGATCAAAGATTGGAGAAAGTAATAAAGACTCTAGAAGAAAATAACGTGGTTTTGAGAAAGGATAAATGCACATTCAGGCAGCAAAAAGTTCAGTTTCTAGGACATGAATTATCACATGAAGGTGTAAAACCTCTGGATAAGTATGTGTCCACCATTCAAGAATTTCGTCCACCTATAAATATAGGTGAGCTTCAGAGCTTCTTAGGATTAATAAATTATGTTGGCAAATGGATCCCAAATTTAGCTACTTCCACTGAACCGCTAAAAGAACTACTAAGGAACAAACCAAACAAAACCACAGAATTAAAAACTCTTTGGGGTACTAAACAGGAATGTGCATTTAACCATTTAAAATTAGCACTATCTAATATTCCGACTCTAGGTTATTATGACGTTAAAGATCGAACAGCAGTAATTGCAGATGCCAGTCCAGTTGGTTTAGGAGGAGTACTAGTTCAAATCAATGAACATGGACCACGCATTATAGCGTATGGACATCGTACCTTAACCAGTTGTGAAAGACGATATTGCCAAACGGAGAAGGAAGCCTTAGCTCTAGTTTGGGCCGTAGAACACTTCCATATATTCCTGTTTGGGAAGGAATTTGATTTAGTTACAGATCATAAACCACTGGAAATCATATTTGGCCCGAAATCAAAACCATGCGCTAGAATAGAAAGGTGGATTCTGCGCCTTCAAGCATATACTTTTAAAGTTATATACAAGCCTGGCAAAGAAAATATAGCAGATAGTTTATCAAGACTGTGCAAATTAAAAGAAATTTCGCATAATAACTCTGACGACTATATACACCAAGTCGTCGAAGGAAGCAGGCCAGTTGCAGTATCGTTGCAAGAAATCACTGATGCCTCGAAAGAAGACACAGAAATACTTAAGGTAAGGCAAGGCCTCTACAACAACCAGTGGGATGAGGAGGTAAAAAATTATAAGATTTTCCAAAACGAATTATGTTTTTATGACGGGATTTTATTACGAGGGACTAGAATTGTTATCCCAAAGAAATTACGAAGTAAAATTTTGATAGCTGCTCATGAAGGACACCCAGGAATTGTATCAATGAAAGCAAGACTTCGAACCAAAGTTTGGTGGCCTCGATATGATAAAGAAACTGAGAATCTGGTTAAATGCTGTAAAGGCTGTACACTAGTATCAGCTCCTAACCCACCAAATGCACTAAAACGACGGACGTTACCAATGGAACCCTGGGTAGATACCTGCATTGATTTATTAGGACCTCTTCCAAGCAGTGACTACATCTTGGTAATCGTCGATTACTTCAGTCGCTATAAGGAAGTGAAGATATGTCGCAAAATAACTAGTGCAGATATAATCCAATGTCTTACAGAAATTTTCAGCAGGCTTGGTAACCCAATGACAATAACAGCCGATAATGGTAGACAGTTTTGCAGTGAAGAATTCAAGAAATTTTGTTCGGAGAGAAACATAATTTTGTATAACACCATACCATACTGGCCTCAACAGAATGGAGAAGTAGAACGACAGAATCGAGACATACTCAAACGATTAAAAATAAGTCAGGTAGAAAATAAAAACTGGAAGGAGGCATTATTAGAATATCTGACTATGTATAATAGTACTCCACATAGTGTAACTGGTAAGACACCAGCAGAACTCTTTTTTAAAAGACAATACCGTGACAACATTCCTATGGCAGAGGACATAACGCATAAACCAAATGACTCTGATGTAAGAGATCGTGATAAAGAAAAGAAAGAAGCTGGGAAAGAATATGCAGATAGAAAAAGGAAAGCTCAAGAATGCCAATTAGTACCTGGAGATAAGGTGTACGTAAAAAATATGGTAAAAGATAAACTTAGCCTAAATTATGATCCTACTTCTCATACTGTAGAAACAGCTACGGGAGGAGATATAAGCGTTCGTAATGACATAACGGGAAAAGTATCACGGAGGAATATAGTGCATTTAAAGAAGGTTGAGGGTCAATGGGAAGTAGTAAATAAAGAAAACGAAGAAAGAGATACAGAAAAAGATTTGAATACAAATGAAAATGAAATGGAAATATTGGATCAAGAGAATTAAATTAAATTACCTAATAAAAGTGTGATTAATCTAATAAGTGTGATTTTGTCATGTTACAGGTCTTTAATAAATCATAATAAAATTAATTTTCATTTATTTCTAAAAGAGTCTACTCTTTTAGAATTAGGCTAAAATTAAAATAACAAGGGAGAGAATGTAGTGTATGCAGATACACGTACATCAATCATAATAAAGGTTATATTGTGACGCCTCGGGCGCATACGTCGCTCGGTTATAAATACCGGTCCGAGTAGAGGGGCAGGCAGTCGTTGTCAGACTGTCGGCCTGTGCGGTGGTGCGTTGGCGAGTCGGTAAACAAAGTAATACAATCACGTGTACAATACAGTTATTATGTTTTGTTTATTTGATTTCTTTGCCAGGCGAAGAACATAAATTGACGAAGATTATTGACTATGTATATCAAGTATATACAAAAAAAATTGAGGCCATGGAAGTTTTACCTCTCATGTTATTATAAAATAAGGAAGAACACTGTCTCTGAATTACAAGTTAAGAAAAGAACTTTAGAAAAATAAATCATAAAAATTCTGCTCAATTTATAAATATAAATGTATAGAGAGTAATATAAAAAGTGTATAAAATGTTCTTCTCATAAAAATCTTATCCCTTTTTATACAACAACGAATGCAAAAAGGAATGATCTAGTTTGATGCAGTGTTCCCATCGTATATTTTGGTAGAATTTATATAGAAGATATGTTACAGACCTGCCACACTCCAATATAGCCTCCTGGTTGTTCCTAGCCTGCGGCGATATCTTGGCGGGAATGGAAGCGAACTCGGGACTGTCCGCGAACTGACACAGACTGCGCACTGCGTCCTGCAAGGGACCTGTCGCTGCGGCGCAACGGGCGCGGTTGGCCTGGACGAACAAATAGTAAATATTACCTTTCTGTGCCTACTAATACATTGTTATTGAGTAAATGGAGAGTAAAGTAGTAATTTCAATACGTTTTTTTTTGTTGTATATGCATTTTTTTAAATATTTTAGTTATATTGAAAGGACTTATTTGTGATTGTGATCAGAACATTGTTGGGTGACTTGGTATATAGTACTAAATAGCAAGTAAATAAAGAAAATGTAACGTTAGTGTCCTAGAGACTATAATTTATATAAATGAAATCAACACATCTTAGTTATCACTGCAGTTTAGACTTCATGTTCCCGTGTTATCGTAGAATGTAAGGTAAGATTAGATGCGACGCTTGTATAGGTACCTCGCTGTAGTCGGTGTCGAGCGCCTTGATGTCCTTGACGAGCGCGGCGGTGGAGTTGGCGACGTCCTTGGCGGCCTGCACGAAGTGGCGCTTGTCGCGCGGCTCGGCCGTGCGGCCCGACGCCACGCGGCACGCGTTGCACAGCGCGCTCGTGTGCTTGGCCACCACCGTGGCCGCCGACAGCACCTGCCACCCAAACTCACTCCAACTTACACGCTGACGAATTTTCATACCTCACGAGACCGCAGTTTTCTGCGACCACACACCCACCGCGGTTGCAATTTTACACCGCAAACTTGGCGGTTGATTATCGCAAGACGGACAAGTTAAACAATTTAAGTTCCAGACCGGGTATTCGAATACAATCACCCGGCAACGGCCGCGATGGAGCGAATCTATTGGGTTATCTACGATATAGATGTTCTAAGAATTCCGAACTTAATAAGAATTGGATAATACAGGCCATTATATTACTAACTAACGACTTATCATTTTCATTAACAAACAAATTGATTTATACATTAATGTTACATAATTATCCTTTCAGAAACGATAATAGCAAGAGAATGTGTGAAATAAGTGTGGGACAGTCATGCCTCGGAATGAATGAGTCAACTCGACCGGAGAGATACCACGGCCAAGCAAAAGCCCAATTACCCCCACCTCCCCAGTCTCCCTAATCCCCAAATCATCCACATTCCTCAAATTCCCAATTCCCAAAAGGCTGGTAACGCACTTGTAAAGCCTTTGGTGTTCCAGATGTCCATGGGCGGTGCCAATTGCTTACCATCAGGTGATCCGTCTACTCGTTTACTGGCTTATGCCACAAAAAAAAATAATATGAAGTGGAGAATATTCCTGACCTGTTGTTGGTTGCTAGAAGAGTCACAGAGCGCTCGACAGGCCTGGTCGATGGCCACGGCGGCACGCGCGAACTGCGCCTGGTCTACTAGACCTGGACGACCTGCTACACTCGTCTCGTCCGATACTGCCACCTGGGGGTACAGGCAGGGTGGTTAGTCGTTGATTTTTGTAAAGATAGATAGTGGTGTAATTGGTGCTAATTGAGTATTACTATTATTTAATGATTGAACCTCAGTTTTGTAACAAATTTTACCACTGCAATTAAAAGTTTTTTTTTTTTTTTTTGGTTTAAATAGTTTATTCTCAAAAAGACAAAGGAAGCCACTTACATGAGAATATAAGCTAACACAAAGTAAATAAACTAAATAAGGTCACCGATACAATCAATCAAAACACATTACAATAAAATTAATGATACATGCTTAATATAAAGAACAAAGTTAACAATAAATAGGTATAGTGCCATTTTACCCGTTCAACGGTTTTATTCTCAACCAGTGGGCTAGTGACTTGTTTCAATTATATATTTACTTAGTTGAGATTTAAAACCGCTGAAAGAGCTTACATTTTTTATGTGGGACGGTAAACTGTTATAAAATTTTGCTCCTTCGTATGTAATGTCTTTTTTGGCGTAATTTGTACGTGGTCTTGGTAGGACAAGTAAGCTAGGTCTACGAAGGCTGCGGTTACTGATTTGTGATTTTTTGGTAAATTTTACATTTGTGTGAATAGTTCCATTTATAATTTTTCTTATCAAAATACAAGTATTGTACATATAAAGCTGTTTGATATTCATGAGCTGTGTTTCATCAAATATTTTGCATGTAGAAGTTAGGTAGGGATAACAAAATAATATTTTAATGATTTTATTTTGCACTCTTTGTAGTTCCTGTATCTTTGTTTTACTCGCGCTACCCCAGATTTCTATTAAATATAACAAGTGCGATTTAACAAGTGCATTGTAAATATTAAATCGCAGTTTCCTGGGTATGCATTGATTTACATTGCGGAGTGATCCAGATAGTGAGGAAATTTTATTTATAATATGATCAATTTGTTTATTCCATGTTAGAGAATTTTCGATTCTAAGGCCAAGATATTTTTCATGAGTTTTTTGCTCTAATGGAATGTTGTCTATAGTTAGTGGATCATGCAATGGGATTATTTTATTTTTGGCTTTGAAAATAATGTAGCTTGTCTTTGAGATGTTTATGGTTAGCAAGTTGTGTTTAAACCATTCATGCAAAACGTTTAAATCTTTTTGAGCTCGCAAAATAGTGTCATGAATATTAGCCCCAAAATAAAACAAACATGTGTCGTCTGCGTATAAAGTTAAATGACCGTGGAGTCCTAGTTCTGTAATATTATTGATATATATAAGAAACAATAGTGGTCCCAAAATAGATCCTTGTGGGACGCCATATGTGATAGGTAAAGCTTTACTTTCAATGTTATCTATCTTTACTATTTGTAGCCTGTTTGTTAGGTAAGATTTAAAAATTTGAAGTGCATTTCCTTTGATACCAATGTTTTCTAATTTGTCTAATAGCAGTTTGTGGCTTACGGTATCAAAGGCTTTTTTTAGATCGATGAACACACCCAAAGCAACATTTTTCTTATCTATATTATCCCTGACTTTTGTAATTAGGTCAATAGTAGCAGCGGTAGTATTATTTTTAGCTCTAAATCCATACTGACGTTCTGTTAAAAAATCAAAAGAGTTGAGGTAATTTAATAAGCGTTTATGTAGGATTTTTTCAAAAATTTTTGAGATCACTGGTAACACAGAGATCGGACGATAGTTTCCAGGATCTGTTTTTGTCCCCGATTTATAGATAGGTGTCACCTTGGCAATTTTTAAACTGTCTGGAAAAACCCCATCACTCATAAGTTTATTAAAACAGTTTGCCATGCCTTTTGAGATAAGATTTTGAATACATTTTATGGCTTTTGTGCTTATTCTGTCTATACCACTACTTGTATTTGGATCCAGGTCGTTAATAATTTTAACAATTTCATCTGCAGTGCATGAGTCTAGGACTGTAAATTCTTGATCATATTTTTTTGGGGATTGGAATGGACATTGCTTATAGGTGTCATGATATTTTTTTGGAATACTATCTGCTAGTACGTGTCCTATGGTAGAAAAATAGTTATTAAAGACCTCGCAAATTTCATTTAAGTCAGTGACTATGTTTGAATCTATTAAAAGCTTTGCAGGAGTATCATTTTGTTTAATTTTATTATTAGCCAAATTATTTATTAGTGACCATGTTTTTTTGGAATTTTTAGAACAATTTGTAAATAGTTTGTAGTAGTATGAATTTTTTGTAGTTTGTATTAGTTTAGCAATTCTTTCTTTCATCTCTTTGTAATTATTTTCTAATAACTCATTTCCTTGGTCATTCTTGTGTTGTATCCATAGATGGTTTCTTTGACTGATCCCAATAAGAATGTCATTATTAACCCAATCATTTTGGGGTGGGTTCAAAATCTTTGTTTTCAACACTTTACTATCTTCCAGACACTGCTTTATCTTGTTTTCTAGTTCAAAATAGTTATTTGTTTCTGTTCCACACGATTCCATTGAAGCAAATAGTTTCTTGTAATCGATTATTTCGTAGTTAAGGCGTTTTTTAGGAGGCGGTTTAATATTTTTTAATTGTACATATATATGTTTGTGATCTGACATAGATGAATTGATGATTGTTATGTCGTATTGTTGATCTTTTAAGTTTGTGCTCACGTGGTCTATAATAGATTTCTTTGTTACAGATTCTCTTGTACAGTAGGTTTTCTTAATTTTGTTTAATATTTTATATCCTGATTCATCAACTATTTGTTTGTACTTTCTTAGTGTTTTATTTTTCGTGAGCAGATCTATGTTAAAGTCTCCAAACACTATTGCTCTCTTTCGTTGTTGTAATTGTGTCTCGTATTCATCTAGAAATCTTTCCAGATTTGTGTTGCCCGGATTGTATACGACGCCGACATCCAGCGCAAGTTTATCAGTTTGTACCCATAAGTAGTTATTTCCATCCTCATATGTAAGTACTTTTTTTTGTATAAAATGTTCAAATTCAAACCAATGAAAATCATTATTTCTGTCTAAACTAGTTTTAAGTCTGTTTCAAATGGGGTACTTAGTTAGGATTTATTGACACCTAAGTATTTTTCAATATACATAAATTAATGCGTAATGCTTGAGTTTCTTTGAGAATGTAGTTATCAAAAGTCGTATGTAATAACAATAAGTAGTAGGCAATGGTAGTATTGCCGGTAGGTACCAGGTAGGCGGCCTGCGCGGTGCACTCGACGAGCCCCTGCACGGCGGCGGCCACGGTGCCCACGGCCCGACTGAACTGCTCCGCCTCGCTGCGCTTCACCGAGCTCGCCATCTGGGACATGCCCTCGCCTGCACATATACAATTCATTTAGTATATCTTACGAAAGGTATAATATATACATTTCTTTAGTTGACAACATAATCTGAAAATGATTTCGAAATCATTGAAAGAGGCTTTTGTACTGTAATATACATGTTGTTATTAATATATTAAACTATATTTATTATGTTATTTTTCAAATAGATGACAATGGTCGATCTGAAAATCAATGTAGGAGACGTATGTACATTGAGCAATGAGCATGTAATAGGCGATGTGCTGACAGTGAAGTGTACTAACTGAGGCTCTTGCTCTGGTCGACGACGGCGTCGAGGCAGGCGAAGTAGCCGAGGTCGGTGAGCGGCTCGGCGGGCGCCGACAGCAGCGGCAGCGTGGAGCGAATGCTGCGGATGGCGGCCGCGCACTCCTTCTGGCCCGGCGCCGCGCTACTGCACACGTCCACCTGCGGGGGGGACGCGTATTAAAACTAATAAACTAATTTTAAATCGTTTAGATGTCTAGGAATATTCAAAGAATAACGATACAATTTCTTGCTCGTTCATCCCCGTATTGAATCTACATTTTGGAACGACTACCTCTCTTAATTGAATCACTATTAAACAATTCTATTTTAACGTTTCAAAGGTATGCTTTGATTAAAATAAATGCTTTAACTTTAAAAGTCATAGACTACATATTGTATGCTTTTTTTAATATTGTAGTAGCACCAAACTTGGTTCAGTATTTTTATATTTAACTAGCTGACTCGGCAAACTTCGTAACGCCTAAAAATAGGTTTTCTCACCTTCCCTGGACTTCCACGAACTTCCAAAAATATTCAAATTGGTCCAACCGTTCTCAAATTTAATCCAAAACTAACCAACAGAAATTCATTTTTATTTATATAGATAGATGGCGTTACGTTTCAGTTACGAAAAGGTCGCGATTAAACACAAAACATATTTTAATTAATTAATCTATATCTATATATTATTATATAAAAATGAATCCCTTTTCCCTTGGTCCCTTTTTCACTAATTCTTTTTTTGTTGTATTTGTTATTATTAGGAGAAGGTTCTTATGATAGAAAAAATCCTGAAAATTCTACGGGAACGGGAGAAAACGGAATTGCGTGTACGAAGTCGCGGGCAGAATCTAGTATTAAATAATTGAAAACGTACAGAAGCTATTGCTGTGCAATAATATATTGTGACTAGCTGACCCGGCAAACGGCAATATGAATAATTTCGTATGTATTTTTGTATGTTGTATCATAAAAAAATAGAAATTAAAAATTTTGTCTAAAAAATAAATAAAAAAATTTAGGTGTGTACTACCCCTAACATTAAGGGGGATGAAAAATAGATGTTGGCCGATTCTCATAGATACCGGATAAGCACAAAACAAATCATAAAAATCGGTCAAGCTGTTTCGGAGGATTATGGCAACGAAAACTGTGACACGAGAATTTTATCTATTAGATATCATCTGCTACTACGAGACAAAAAATAATACAATATGTGTATAATGAAGTAACTTACAAGCCTGTTGATGCTCTCAGTGACGGCGCGGGCGGCGGCCGCTAGCTGGTTCTTGGCGTTGGGGCGGGTCAGGTCCTATAGGAAAATCATATTTTATCATACAGTAACCATATTAATTATGCAAAGCAATAACGACTTCTCTCGTCTCCGTGACTTTCAGATTATCAGACATATTTAAAAGAAAAATATAATGCCAGGTATTCAATTTGCAGTTTTAGTTTTCAGAGTGAAGAGAACAAAGAGTAAGATTCTGTATCTAATGACTTTTAACGTAAAACTTATGTATTTTGTATACAAATGATATCTATAGAATATAAGTATGTATGTACCTGGCTGACGGACTTGGCAGTGCCGAGCAGTTTGGACGAGTTGACGGTCACACTCTTCATGGAGCTCACCATCAGGGTCTGGGCGTCGCGGTCCTGACGGGGAATAAGATTATATAGCATACAGGTAGATAACAATCTGGTTATACTTCGAAGATAATCAAAATCAATATTTACGCTGAAGCACGAAAAAAGATTGCCTTCTGTAAATTTTGTACAAAATCGTGTGTTATTATATTAAATGAAATAATTTCATTTAATTAAATATTATATTAAATGATTCAATTAAATGAAATAACGAAAGTTTCTATAAATATATTTGAATTTACTTGTTGATAATCTGAAACGATTTATGTTCGAATAGACAAATATAGATTTCAATTATCTTTTGCTGTCTAAAGAAATCGAGATGATTTTAATTTTAAAGGAAACAAGAATCGTATAAGTAACCTAATGTTTACACACGATGTATAAAATATAAATTAGTTGTGTAAACATCAATACACTTATGCGAATATCTTAGTAATAATATAAGTTACCTCGGTATGTCCCGCCATCTCCATGCTGACGCCCAGCAGCCTGTTGAAGGCGTCCCCGAAGCCGGCCCCGGCGGCGGCCAGGTCGGCGGGCCGGTCGACGCGGTCCACCACTTCCGACGACGCACTGCTCAGGCCTACCGCCGCCGCGTTCAGCTCCGATTGGAGTTCACTGGAGGCAATGGAGGTAGTGTTAGTCATGTTGTATTTATTTATTTAGCTTATAAATGTCCACTGCTGAGCATAAATCACCACGCTTGTTGAATGAGGGTTGGCGATTTCAAACTTATAATTAGTAATTATAAACCCAACTTTCCTCACGATGGTTTCCTTCATAATCTTAGAAAGTACCTACATATAATTTTTTTAGTAAGGTATTTAAAAGTACGATTTTTAAGTCCGTTTTTTTCATTCACACCTAAATCGTCTATCAACTAAAAGCTATTTAGTGTAATGTAGCATATAAAAAACCCCTTATATGCACTGTTAGGTAACACTTAAAGGTTGTTGAAAACCAAAATATCGTTAAGACGCCTATCTTAGCAGTTCCTTAAAATTTAAGAGAGGTATGTGAAAACAGTCTAGTTTTCAAGCAAGCAAAAGCAAGAATTTTGTGCTGGGATCTATTGGAATCTTACAAATAATCTACACAATTGTTGGTTTAAAATTGTTTTTAAACATTTTAGTTATGTGACATAAATAGTTATAAATTTTGATTGGTGACTGGTTCTTTAATATCGGCCATTATTGTATTATATTGGAACGTACCCATAGCTCCTGTCAGAGGGCGGGAATTCTCCCATGTTGAGTATGTTGAGGGTCTCGTTGATGTTCTCCATGGCTACATCCAGCTCGGTGTGAGATGGAACCGCTTCCAGAGTCGACTCCAGACCCTGAGGTGATAAGAAAGTCAGTTTTTTAGATAAATCTTGTTATGTATTGCCGTCATTATTATTCCTCCTATACCATGAGCACAAATAAATTAATTACATTACATATATATATTTGTGGATCACATAAATGATAAATAAGTTTGGAAGGCGAAAATTTCCATCAACTATCTATCACCAGTCTGGCTCCCGGAGTCATGAAATCGATTAAAATTGCTACGTGAATGAATCGAATTCGTCACACGTCGCATATAAGCTGGTTACACAGTAGTAGTCGATTATGATTTATGAGATTATATATACTATTTTTGAGATTATGGACTCCGGTCACAGCTCGAAACTAATAGAGCGACCTTGTACAATAAATGAAATATTGTCATGTATACCTGTGAGATGTCCTTAGCGATGGCCATGATGGAGGTGGTGTCGACAGTCTCCGAGGTGGTGAGGGATCGCTTCACGTGTTCCACCAGTGTTTGGGAGGAGTAGAGGACTGTGCGACCTGACGTTATTATTCTGAGGGAGAAAATGTGTCAGATTAATAATAATTATAGTTATTTTGAGTAACGATGTATCTTCCATTGTCCCAATGAATAAAAATTTGTGAAGACTCAATTGCTAAGAGGCATAAGGTAGGCAATTTTCAGTCAGCAAATAATATTACAAAGTCATAATTAATGACGTTGATATCTATTTTAGTGATAGATCATATTTTTTTGTAATTATGTTATAGTTCCATTTAACATGATCCAACAAAAATTGATAAAACTGAATGATATTTTTATCGGCATGGGAATTGACCTCAAACTCGGTAGTTACATATTTGGCTCGCCTAACTGACTAATGTAAATAAACATGAGAGATATGTACTTCTCCCTGCGGGCATGGTCTGGCTGCAGCGCGGCGGTGGCGCGGAGGCCGGCGCCGAAGTCCCGCAGCGACTGCGCCAGGTCGCCGGCGGCGCGCGCGCAGGCCGCGTGGTCGCCGCGCCGCGCGCCCGCCGCCAGCGACATCGTGTGCGACGCCGCCAGCCGGGACGACGTCTTCAACGTCGACGACGCCCACTCCGGCTGCGCGGGGACGGGGATTATTATATCTTACTGCGAAACTTTGTGTCTATGTTTCATACTCGACCACTTCGAAACGGCTAAAGAGATCGGGATGGAATTCGAAACAGATGTAGATTATGATCTGGAATAACACGTAGGCTACTTCTTACTCCACTGGAATGCAGTCGAAACCGATGGCAAAATCTAGAGAAGAAATAAGAAGAATTGATGATAATAAACTAACCGTCTGTGAGGGCAGTGGTCTCAGTTCCAGCGCCCTGGCAGCCTCCTCCAGCTCGTCCAGCTCCGCCTGAAGCGACTTGATGATCTCTGCTGCAGCATCCAGTTCGAGACCTTTGCAGGAGATACGAGCACGACCTACTGCTGACCTGTAGACAATAGATTTAAAGTTATTAAAATTGATTAGAGAAAAACCTTTTACTAGATTGATTCCGAAACTAATCAAGCTTCCTCTTAGATAAATGAGTAAGTTGCATCTGTATTATAAAAATTTTTTGTAAATTTTATGGCGCCAACACAACGTTTCTCATAGTTGTAACCAATTTTCGTGGTTTTGTCAGTTAGCATTAGAAATCTATAGAAACCTTCATTGGACTTCTAACAACGATACAATTCAATAATGCATCATATCGTTATGCCATGTATAAGTAATTTTAAAAAGAATACATGTCAATATTCTAACAATATCTTATACTATTTGTTTGTTTGATCGCAGTGATCTTCAGAACTACTGGTCTGAATTGAATAAATCTTTTCCTGTTGGATAGTTCATTTATCGAGGAAGGTTATAGGCTAAAACATCACGCTACGTTCAACGGGCTCCGAGCAGAGCGAATGAAATCACGCGGAAATTAGTTAATGTTAAAATAATTGTTCCGAAACCATGACGCTAATGAAAAATGGAGTTGATTTCATTTAGTTGTGTAGTCCAGTACCTGAGGTCGGCGGCGCTGGCGGTGAAGGAGTGCGTGGTGTCTGCGAGGTGCTTGGCCGTGGGCCCGTCGCCCACCGTCGGGAGCGCGCCGCGGGACGCTGACACCACGTGCCCGCTCGGCTGGGGACAAGTCAAACTATATAACTATCTTATGCTATAAACAAGTCTACGTTTTGGGTCAAGATAACAGTGGACATTAATCGCTACAAGTATATAGATACTAAAAATTACTACCGCAAGAAATTAATGTTAGATTCAATAGGAACAAAATTTATTACTAATAAAAAAAAAATACTTGTAACAACAATAGAGGTAAAACTTAAATTGTGGAATTTTTGCTCCGTTCGGTTTATTTTTGAGTCGAAATATGAACATTGTAAATTTCCTATATCCACGGGACAATGTACCTATGTGTGTATAGTCCAATTTTACCCAAAACAAGTACGAGTTCTATTACATTGGGACAAAATACAGCACATGTTGGTTGAGTAATCGTAAAACTACCTGTAGGAAGGCCTCGGAGGCGGAGATGAGGTCGAGCGTGGCGGCCGGGTCGGCGGGGCGCAGGCTCGACACCTTCACGGCGTCCACCACGCGGGGGATCTGCTCGCTCAGGGACTTGCACTCCTCCATCAGGGTCTCCTGCACCACAATATTATACCATCATAATTGGACATGGGGCATAAAAATAATATGTAAACAAATGTGAAATTGAAAAATCAGTAACGTCTTTAACATCGTATGTTTAGCAAAGATATTCATTATCTTAATTATAGATGTAATTTCTACTAATGTTAAGAGTTATAGTCTCTGCCTACCCCCTGGGAGTAAGTATCACATTTTGAAGCGCGCTAAATACATATAAAAATGATAGTTTACCTGTGTGTACTTGTTGGTATTGTACTGCGTGGCGTTGTGGGCCGAAGTGATCAGTTGCGTCGCGCTGGAAGCGGCCTGGCGAGCGCTCTCCTGCAATACATAGCACTCATGTATTTCTTGGATTATATAGATTATATTATTTAGAGTCGCGATGGCCTGGGAAGTTTAAGACGCTTCTCATGCATGAGGGTGCGAGCTCGAAACCTACCAACGGCAAGCACCAATGTGACATTTTCCGAGTTATATGTACTTTCTAAGGTTATCTAGACACCACTGACAAACGGCGAAGGAAAACATCGTGAGGAAACCTGGACTTATAATTTCTAATTATAAGTTTAAAACCGCCAACCCGCATTGAGAAAGCGTGATGATTTATGCTTGCTGCTTTTGATAACCACTTATATAATTTTCAAAATGAACAGCAATTTGTATAAACTATGTACATATTTGCAAGTATTCAAAGTCAAATTCAAAGCATATATTAAAGAATGTCAGCAAATACAAAATAAATAATAGTCTGTCAGTCTGTCCTTCAGTGAAGCTAGGTGCTCATTCCAAAATGTAGATTCGAATATTTATATGAAAGTGGTGACCCAGATCCTATATATTTTTGTATTAACTTGTAGACTTGAAGCAGTACATACCTGTAGCCGCGCGACCTGCGACCCGACGATGTCCTGTCCCTGCGCGTAGTCCACGGTGATGTAGCGCAGTTCTTCTGCAGCCTTGCGCAGAGCTTCTTGTTTCTCGCGGTCCTGTACAAATGACAAGATTTTGTTACTAAAATAAAACTACAGAAATTATCTGATAAAGGGATATTTCTGTTATTTTGTACAGAGCATAAATGTAGCCTTTCTGACAATTTTTTCCATTCTTTCGGCAATCGTAGAATTTAATAATACTTAGCCGACTTGGAACTCATGGCAAAGGCACTTTGCAATTATAAATAAGTCTTGGAGAGTTGATTTTGGTACAACATATTAAAAATAAAGTTTGTTGACTTATAAAATAGTAGACAACAAAACAGATCTGATTTTGTTTCGATACGTTTTTAAGTAGAGTTTTAAAATCTGCTATGTAAAAGTGCCTTTTTCTAGGAATAAATAAACATAATTACAATATAACAATGGCAATAGACTCACCCACTATTACATGGGACTCGTAACATAAATGGTGAACAGTCGGTGTTACATTGTACAGTGGCATTAAGTGCATTAATTCGTCGAGTACCGGTTTTGTAGACACAATTATAGAACAATAGGTTGCGGTCACCGGTGACCGCTTGGTGTTTGACAGTTTAATATGCACCTCTGCCAACTCCTTCGGGATAAAAGACGTGATGTTATATACAAGTCTGAAGTACCTGTGGCTCGGACGCGCACTGCCTGGCAGCTTCCACCATGCGCGCTGTAGCGTCCGCCAGCAGCTTGGCAGCCGCCAGCAACTTGCGCTGACCTTCTGATGGTTGCTTCTCTGCTTCCGTCTGTAAGGGGGAAGGGGGTTAGTATGGGGTCTTTATGACACAGATGTAAACGATGTTTTTTTACAATATTAATCGTTTTTGTTCTGTGTTATTTATGCAAGATGTTACATAAAGTATTGGAGAATTGAGTACAGGCTCATAAGGCTCATAAAGCTTGTTTTTTACTCTCACCAGTCATGATTTTCGGGAGCGATATGTTTACACATTGCATATTTTATAATTGCTTACTTAATGTATGAGCCTCAGAATAGAGAAGAAATGACAGGGAGAGGGTTAGAAGATAGTTTTATTTTTAAAATTAAAGTTGAAATTATCGCCCTCAAAAGATCTAAGTTCATCAGCAAACGGGGTCTGACTAATGATAGCCTAGTAGAATCAAGTCACATCGTTCTTAAGACTATATTCGTTCAAGTGGCCCCTTAATTTCCATTTTAAGGTGACCATTACATACGCCTCTTCAATGGCAGGCCACTGAGCTCGATCTTCATTCAACCACTGCCAGCTACCTTGTGGATATCATCACTTCACTTACCTGGATTACGCTAGATTACGTTTGCCTAGACGCGGTCTCCACTCCAGAACACGTCTTTCCCAACGGTTAACCAGTTCTTTGACAAATGTGACCGGCCCACTGCTATATGAAATCACTAACCCCTTTGGCTACGTCGGTAGATGTTAGTTGCCTGGTACCTTGATGTTGGTGATGAGATGCGCGGTGGCCTGGCCCAGCAGGCGCGCGTGGCGCACCATGTCCCCCGGGTCGGCGGCGCCCACGACTCGCTCGCTGGCACACATGACGCTCTCCACGGACCGCTCCGACACCGTGCCCGTCGCACGACGCTCTGGGGACAACATTCAAGCTTCAGTAAAAAAAAGCTGATGAAAGCAGGGTAAATAAGCTGATAGCTCACTTTACAGTAAGCGGTTAGCGTCGTCTATTGACATCTACAACATCAGAAGAATCACAATGTATGGTGTGTCTTTAAAGCTATCCTTTTAGGTTGCAAGTTGGAGAGCCAAGCTCCGGCATGGATGGATCGGTTCAACCAAAGTGGTATCGCGACCTCACAGTATACCGACACCACAGCGTGTAGTGTCACACTGTATATGACGTAATCAGAGACCCATTTGCCTCCCCCCTCCTCCCAAAATGCTAGAAACACACGTATAACCTTATAATGAATGTCTGTAGACGACGCAGGTTGCTTACAAGCGATTGATTGGTTAATTTACCTACTTGTTTCATACAAAAGATCTTATTAGAGTAGAGAACTTAAACGCTTAGACTATACGTCCTTTTACTGCACGTATCAGTTACTGTTTTTGTTTTTAACCGTTGTGACTGTTAAAATAAATATAAATGTCAAACGATCCCGTTGAAACCTATAAAGCACTATATAAAGGAGGTCTACATTCAATACTCTACACCTGCAATAACAATAATAATCCAATACTAACCAAGTTCACAATGCGCCAGCAACCTCTCGAGTTCCTGCGTGACATTGTGTGCCGCGGCAGTGAGGGACTCCACGGCGGGGGCTGCCGGCGGCGGGGCGCTGGAACAGGCGTCCAGCAGGCGTTGGACTGCGCTGGCCACCTGGCGGGCTGCGTGGGACAGCTGGGAGCGGCATTGAGGGTTCTGGAGGGTTGGGGCTACCACCTAAAGGGATAAAAAGGGTTATAAGTAAACTGGATAGTCTCCAAGTAAAGACAAGCAATTAGTTTCTGCTTAGAAATCCACTATTATTTTATGAACTCATATGCCTTTTGTTTAGACTTCCATGTATACTATACGATAAAATAGTGGTATATGGCATTCGTTAACAGTCTAGTCGAGTCAATAACAATTTTGGACTCAGAGATACACACATTTCTAACATATGCTTTTCACTATTAATGTTGAGTTTCATGTAATAAGACAAAGCAATAGTTATTTACCGAATATCATAGTATCACAAAGTGACATACATAATATCGAATGACATTCTCATGTCACTTATAGTATATAATAATACTACAATGAATTATAGTCGAATCTGTACACAATTCCCAGAATTCAATTCAATATCGAAAATTTTAATGATGTGTTCGAAACTAAAGAAAAATTCAACAATTTAAACAAAAATATTAGTGTTCTATCGTGAGACATACTACATTAACTAAAAGTCGCGAGTTACTCACGTGAATATACTGAGAAAAGCTCTACTAGTTTCGAACCACAGAGGGGTTCGGTAAAAAGTAAAAAAAGTATCTTAAGTCCGTCTCCTGGTTCTTGAACCAGGTAGCTTGCTACTTCCCCACCAATTTTCATCCAAATAGATTTAGCCGTTCTTGGGTTATAAATAGTGCAACAGCGCAACTTTCTTTTCTTCTACTTTCGAACCGTTTGAGGTTGAAACTTTAGGGCCGTGGGGCCCAAGTGCACATCTTCTTTACAAAGATATTGTAAGAAGGATGGTTGACACTTCTGGTGATCGAAGGGCTGGCTACCTTGGGCAAAGGTTAAGAATTGCGATTCAACGTGGCAATGCTGCCAGTCTTATTGGCACCCTATCTCACGATAACGAAGAGGAAAAAAAAATATTATTACTTTTTTAAGGTGTAAATATTTTAGTTCATAGGTATTTATATTTTAAGTTGTATATATTTTCATTTAGTAATAGTTAATACCAATTTTAAATTAGAATAAAATATACTCTCTTTTATATATTACTATATAGCTATAATAAAATATGTTTCCTACCTTGGCACAAGCAACAAGTTGGCTAGTGGCGAGCGCGCAGTGTGTAGCGGCTGCGATGATGGAGTTCTGCAGCGGCTGGTCCTCCCTGCACTGCGCCGCCACGTTCTTGGCCTTCAGGACCAGGGCCGCCGTGGTGTTGGCCACTGCCTTCGCCAGCGATAGGAGGATGTCCTGTGGGTAACAATTTTAGTTAGTATATGGTGAAATAATATAAATATAGATACAATTTTGTTTAATTTGGAATTAAATATGTAAGACCCGGTTAAAAAAAAATGTTATGAGTTATGCCATTAATATATAAAGGCTCTTTTGAAGTCCTTCCAAAATAAAGAATTATAATATGACACAACTATAAATAATAAAACACTAACACAGTGAGTAGAATGGTTAATTAAATAAGGTCAATGTTCAGTGATATAATTACGTGGAAAGTTCGGGTATATTAGTCTACAGCTACACAAATGTCCTTGAATTAAAAATGCATCTATCCATTTCTCTGTGGGTATTTTAGTACCTATAAAAGCTCGCTTGACAAGCATGCATGAAAAGATTGATGACTGTTGATAAAGCGAAAGAAGTATGTAGGAATCGTAGCAATTGGCGTTCCATAGTATCTGCCTCATCATGTACTTCTCATAAGACAAACGAACAAAAACATAAACTTTACGTCTTTATTCCAAATGAAATATTAATGCACCTACTCAAAAAATGAACGTGATTACATAAAGTGAATTAGCACGCTATTCGCGATTAAAAAATAACATTCGATGTTCTCATAAATTTCAACATTTTAAAAGTCCGCCACAAGGCCATTACACGAGTAATACATAACATTCATGAAACATATACATTAACTCCTGGCGTCCGTTCGTAAAACATGTCATACCTATATGAAATGTCGCATTAATCAAACATTATATAAAGAATTTTATAAAGTTTATATACTACAAGTCAAGCTATACAAAACCAGTTTATTGTGGACTCGCTTCGTATGATCTTTCTGCACATTCAGTGGCCAGCTTATAATGGAATTATCAAGTGAAACCAGTATATAACTGTCCAATCTATTTAGTTTTCGTCCCGAAGTAAAATGGTTCTGTCCCGGTAATACAATAGTTTTACAAACAAATAAAATAACTGGTGAACCATTATAAAAAGCAAACTTCGAAAGCGCATACGAACTCATAGTACATTATCAAAACATCACGTCATGTAATTGTCGAAGAGGTATTTCTCGTCGGGTGGCACGTGCGATGCGAATAGTGTCTACAAATTTTACGTCTAGTGTTTCATGTGCGTATTTCCATGGACATCCTTTTTATACTAAATCAATGACATCTTTGTTTTTTACTCTATAAGTACATCGAAAGTAGTCCGTATGGTAAGTTGTTTTACCGCGAGACGAGATTTCACGGTGTATAACAGTCTCGTGTTGTATAATCTTTCAGCAGATTCAAAGATCAATTTATACTGGTTATGCATAGCTTGATGTTTTGCCGTGCACTTTACATTCTTTTAAAAATATTATTGTAAACATAATGTCACAGCTTTTGAATCTACGAAGGGGTATACAGAAATACACATATACATGTAACACCCACTTTCCCCCCGTTATGTTATGAGTCCCATGTCATAGGGAGTAAGTCTATTGTCATATATCAGATCCAATTTCAGCTAGTACCGATGTATTGTATTGAAAAAGTAATGTTTTCTATATATATCAAAAAATATATATAGAAAACATTACTTTTTTAACTAGACTAAAATTAATCAGTTTTTAAAACATTTTTACAACTACAAGCAATAAATGTATCCGGTTCAAACATCTAGGTCAAATCGAGTGTCCACTCAGGAATCGAGCTCACGGACTCGCTTTACAAAAACCAGACGCCTGTCATCTGTGCTATGTAGGTCAGAGAGTAGTTTTTATTTTTATTAACAACGCCATCTGTTGACAATGTACTGTATTACTTCCGTAGATTGATGTGATGCGATGCGCGGTCGCATGGAACGAGTTGTAACTTATGAGCGGCGCTTGCGACGCGAGTAGTTTATAGTTTTTGAGAATTATTCAGTATGCGATATTGATTTTATGTTTTATGGACTTGTATATTATTTGTATTGTTTTGTGTATAAGATATATCCATATAAGGAATGTTCCTCTACTTAGACCATAACATAATCTGAGTTATATTTTCACATTCTCCTTCACCATACATTTATTACAAGGGGGTTTTAGTTAGTTATTTTTGCTGAATACATTCACTTTGCAGACAGTTAGTTATAAATAAAACAATATGTTTTTTTAAGCAAATGTATTAACCAAAAATAACCAACCTGGCAGTGAAGGTATGAACCACAACCGTACACTGGGGTGCAGAGAAACCATACCACTACATGTATCATGAAAGGGAGCAACTTTTCTTTTTCATTTCTTGATATATATTTCTGATACAACTATTTTATTAATATTGGTTACATACATATATACAG